CTACCGGGCAGCCGGGCACTCGAAAGCCCGTAGGGCTGGCGGTCTTTTTTGAGGCTACCCCCTTTTTCTTGGTTTGAAAGGGAAACCAAAGGGGGAAACCACCATTTGAAAGGTCCCCAAAAAGTGAGTCACTTGCTCAAAACCCGGTATCAAAATGATCGCAATCCCAGAACCACGTAAAGAAGTAAGAAGGCGGATTTCCGCAACCTTTTTTATGGTTGGGATTGTCCCTTACTAACGTTCATCTACCCGGGTTTTGATTGTGGCTCACTTGGCGTGTTCTCGTGCTCCAAAATCTGTGCGAGGCTCCTCCCTTAAAAACAATAACCGGTCACCCCGTTTGGCAAAACAGAGCCCGCCATTTTTGAAAGGTGGAGACTCCAGGTGGCAGCTAGATGCACTCGCGAAAAGGTCCGTGGAAGGCATTCTATTGATACAGCGGAAAGGCAATTCCCACCCGTGTCTGCCCAAGGGCAGCCCTTTCTGGACATCCTTCAAACCAAACCAAACCGAAGAAGACCAGTTTCGGGGGTGCGCTTTTCTTTGGACACACCCACATTGGTCAATGTACAAATCGCCAGTGCAGCAGCATCAACTCATGTCAAAGGGGAACATCATAGTAGCTGTGGCTCCCGTTGTGCAACGTTGAGTCAGGATGCTTAGAGTCATAGTCTCGATACAGGCAACACCCATGCACGCAAATCAGCTCGGAGTGTACCAGCCTCCATCACTTCCGTTTCGCTCTTTGTGCTCAAAAACGTGACCTCAGCCATCTCAAATCTCTCAAAAGCCGTGTCCGTTGCATCCGGGCGACACAAAAATCGATTCACCGCCTGAGGCTGCGGCACAATGGAATGAGCTCAGGAAGGAAACGAACAGGTTGGGCGGAAACCTCGGCCCAAATGCTCGGCGCATATTGGACGGAGCCCCGGAGTTCAAGGGAGGTCAAGCGACCTTTTTGTTCTACTCGGGTTCTGATACAAAAGCGAGGCAAACACACAACTTGGCACTTTGAGTGCTCAGCCAGTTTTTTTTTAGTTTTTTTTAATGGGCACATGGACACTAGTTTGTTGGCCGCTTGACAGCATGAAATTTTACGCTGGCTTTCCATCGGTTCCCAGGACTAGATCCTTCGGCTCCGGCTTCAGCACGAACTTCTCAGCGCCTTCCTGTTCAAAACGCTGGGATTTGACCATGGCACGGACAGGCCTTCCTTCGTGTACGGCCCTTGCCCGTTGTTTTGTTTGTTTTGCGTGTCAGACCACATGTCGCCTCTCAAACAGTGGGTCTGTCGCTCAAGCAACATATTCAATGTGCTTTGTGGGGGACCCCGTCAAAATGGTGGATTTCCGTTTGGTTTCCCTTGAAAAGCACAAAAGGGAGGGGAGTACGGAGAAGAAAAAGCAAGACACACCCATATTTGGGTGTGAATTAAACATAGGTAATAGGCACCCAACATGCATCCTGCTTACATGGACACCAGGCTACTACAACTTGCGGTCCAGATCTTGGCTTGATTCTGACCCATACATCATACCCATTTCTTTGCAGCGCGTATCGCTCTTGCTAAATCGATGCGAAGAAATGGCGATGAAGGCTCCAGCCTGCGGATAGGGCTCTGCCCCGGCTAGATCTGTCAGCCAGTGGACTAGGTACAGCGCCTGGCGTCGGGTCCTCTTCCCGATTTTCTCCGGTCCAGAAGGAAACAGGAGGGGGGGCTTAGGGGAGGGGGGGCGATTTGGGCGGGAAAGAGGGGGGGACTTGCAGTTGCCAGTGCTTAAGTTGGTATTGCCAATAATTAATTTAGTCTTACCAGGACTGACTCTCAAATACCCAGTGCTTAATTTAGTATTGTTAGTTACACATCTAGTGTTGCCAAGACTTACTCTCAGATTCCAAGTACTTAATTTGGTATTCTCCATGTAGTGTTGCCACGACTTACTCTCGGATTCCGCGTACTTAATCTAGTATTGCCAGTTCTTGATTTAGTCTTGCCAATAATTAGTATCAAATGCCCAGTACTTCAGTTAGAATTGCCAGTTCTAAAATATAGCATTGACAGGATTTACCCTCAGACTCCTCGTACTTAATTTAGTTTTGCCAATTCCACATTTAGTATTGCCAAGACTTACTCTCAAATTCCCCAGTCTTTAACCCTTTGTTGCCAAATCTAATCTTGCCTTGCTGGATTTCCCCCAAACAAGCTTGACAGGATTGAAGACCCCAAACATGCCCAAACAGGCATATCAAACTGGATCGCTGGCTATGGTGGGCAAGCAACCCCCTTTGTGATTGCTTGGGCTTGGCTTTTTACAAAGGAGTCATCTTAAGTTTGATGGGGTGCGGCACTTGCAAAATTGAGTTTCCTGGATCCAACGCCTTTAGCCTTTGAGCTGGAAAGAGCTTGGTTGGATGAACCAATCTTGAAAAGCAAAGGCTAAGGCTTTGATCTGGGAATTTTACATCCGACCCCCACCCCCCAAGGCAAACAAAAGAAAAAGAAAATAGCTTCACATTCAAAACAACAAACAACGTTCCAGTCATATTAAACTGGATCCACAGTGGATGGCGGTGGCTTTCTGGGACTTTCCCTTTAACAGCACGCCCCTGTTTCCCAACATTGTTTTGACCAGGTCTCATGGCTTGGTTCTTTGCATGAAACTTGAGGGTGGGTGGTGGGTGAGTCTTGTGGTGACCATCCCCATGACTACCTGTTCACTTTACGGGGGCTTTCTTGGTATCAAAGAAGGTCCTGAAACCAATACATTCAAGCCCAAAACAAAACAAGCACGCCGGGCGCGCCACGTCGCTGGATTTGGCCCGGCCCTGCCTGCACAAGAAAACCACGCGCGTGACCCACTACGTGTGGGCCATGGTTCTTTAAGCAAGACTCCATGTTGTCTAAACTCGCGAAAAAAAGGGTCCATGAGTTCATGACCACCAACTGTAAAAGGGTCTTGTGACCATGGCCCATGTTTTCTTGGGGTCTGTTAGAACCAACCCCAAAAATGGAGTCCGCACACGTTTCGGTCGTTACCATCTCTGATAAACCAAGTCATTCAGGGGAGGGGGTGATCTGGGGAGGGGGTGATCTGGTCCACTTCTCCAGAATTAGACCCACGGTAACAGCAGGCTGTCAGCGGAGGTCCCAACACACCTCGCTACCCAAAGGAGATCGCGTCGCCTCCGCGACCATGTCACAAGAGTGGAAAGGAGAACAACGACGCGCTCATCTGACTGCACATCTAGGTCCTCCAGTAGAGAGGTTAGAATAAGGGTACTTTTTTTCTGTAGTCTATTTTAGTAGGGGAACCCTCTCCCAAGAACGAGTACAAGGGCACGACCAGGGGACGTAGACATTCAGAAACTGGCCAGTTTCCGTCATCCTTTGCTTGCCACCGGAAAGCCTCGGCCTCTCTCGCTGCGCGAGACGCACAAGCAACACGCCACTCACCCAGCACCCCACCAGCGTCTGGGCCTGATGATCCGCTTGAAGCGGTTGAAGAGCATGCCAGGCGGGGCCTGCGGGGGGGGGGATCTGAAATTTGGAAAGTCCTTTGTGGGCTCAAAATCTGGGGGTCGCAATAAATGGCACATTTCGAGTGGTTCCTCTTTCTGCTGGCAAAACCTGCATTTCGATAGGCCTTCGATGGGTTTTGCCGCAGCAGTGCAGGTTTTGCATGTCCTGCATCACACCACCGAGGTCGGTCCACGCGTTCTGCTTTTTGTTGGCCCAGCTTCGCCCGGTTCAGCATCTCGTCTTTTGATGTTGGGCTCTGGGATAGCCGAGGGGCAATTAGGCACTGGATCTGAGATCTGCACATCGGAGCATCATGATTGCTGCAGTCACTTTGGAGGGCGCAACCACACTTTGCTTCGTGGTTGTTTCTTCGTGCCGTGTTGTTTCTTTGTACCGTGTGTTGTTTGTTGTGTTTTGCGTGTTGTGTGTTTGTGTGGCTCCACGTGGTGTGTGTGTGTGTGTGTCGTGGGTTACGTGTTGCGTGGTGTGTTGTGTCGTGCTGTGTTTTGGGCGTGAGTGGTTTACGACATGTGCGAAAGCCAGGGCGGCATCTCCAGCATCCCAGCATCCACAACATCACCAATATCCCCAGCATCCAGCTTTTATCTCTGGCTCTGGTGCTGGTGGTGTTTGGTGTCGATGATGGTTTGGTGCAAACATGTTTTCTTCCATCTGGCGCACGACCGTTGTGCAGTGTGTAACCCCATCAAAAATTTAAAGGGCCCCTCTGACAGGGCAAGACCACAAGCTTCTTCCATGTCCAATGACGAATGCATCGGATCCCAAAGACATGCATGAGTTCTTGCTCTGTAAGCCACGTGAACACCCTGACGTAAGGCGGCGGGTAAAACAACCAGTGTCCTGTTGGAAAATCAACGGCACTGGTAATTAGGACTGAAACCATTGCCTATGTTTAACCAATCTGAACTGAGGACACCCGAGTGAAAATCAAAGCATGTTCTGGTGGTCTACGCAAAACTATGTAAAGAATCTATCGGCTTCTTGCCGCATTGTGTTTTTATGGGACAGTCCCCCAGTCTTCACTGACCCAGGTTCGATTATGGCTCAGCATACCTAAAAAGCTGCTTCGCGCCTCCGCTTGCACGAGCCACCCGAGGTTGAACTCCATGTCCTCAGCATGTGCTGCACGCATCCCAGTTGACCCCTAAAATTGGGAGGGGGGGGGGTGGGGTCGTTCGCTTTCCCTCAAAACCAACCTTGCACAAGTTACCCCGCAAAACACGCACCCTGATCTTGGGGGTGCTTCGAGAGTGAATGTATTCGACTTCTGTTCTGCTCTGTTCCAGCTACTCGCTCATCCTTCAAATCTGAATTCTGACAAGGTGCGAATTGCGTGAATTTCACGGACTCGCGCTGAGCCTGGCAAGTGTGCCCCATGGATTCATGAATATATGCGGAGTGCCAATAATGCATGCGCCACAATACAAAAACACTGGTCTAAACGCCCAGACAATCAACATCTTAACTTTTGATGCCATTTCACGCCCAGACGCCAAAGACATTCTCAACCTGGGCCCCATTCTGCCACCGGTTTCCCAAAAAAGGAAGGAACCCAGCTCGACCAATCGCTCCAGTTTTTCCGGCCTCGGGAAGGCCGGCGTAAGACGGAAGAACCTCTGGCATGCATTGGAGAACGTACCTATGGGCGGAAAGCCGAGCGAGCCAGCAACACGATGATTCTGGACGCGGCCGGGGGGGGGGGGGGGTGGAACGAATACATGGTAAGAATTGGCTTAATCTTGAGGAAATGGAGCCTTAGAATACACCCAAGAATCGTTCCACTGGGTTCACCCCCAAGAAAGTCGCATTGTGCAGGAACTTTCTGATTTGTGCCCGAGACACCCGAGCGCTGTGTCGTGGTTGTAAATGACCTCTCCCACCTGGCGATTTGCGGGAAACTTCGCGAACTCGTCGGCCTGGTTTCCATTTTAAGTGGCTTCCGCCACCTCCAAAGGTCGGCCCTGGTCGGCTTTTCGGTTGCTGGCATCACCCCGTGATTCTCCTGAGGGCTTCCCGTGAAAGCAACCTGCTACCTGAAAAGGGTACCCAAACAACCACATGGGGGATGTGTCAAAACAAGGCATAGCACAAATTTGTACAAAGCCAAGATGACACTGGTGTCACCTAGCTCCAACTTTTGACGCAGCTGTCATAGGATTACTGAGGAAGTTGAGGAAGTGAGTCCCGTGTCCCGAGCGGGTCCCAAATGCACCGCAAACAAATATCTTATATACGTGTTTATGTACAAAATATATTGGACAAGCATATACACCTTCATACAATATATTTGTGTACAATATGTGGGTTACCCTGACAAAGTATATCCAATACATGTGGAGATGACTTGTTCAGGGTACACTTTTTGGGGGTGCGAAAGGGCAGTTGAAGGGAAACTGCCATTCCCTGATGTTGAGACCAGAATCCGAAGGCGGTGGCCTCAAAATTAGGGCACCCCCAACATAGTAAGTCTTTCCCGGACAAAAACAAGGGCGCACACATACGGGTGCGTGTTTTTGGAGGCGGGGTACCCTTTAGGGAGACCAAAAGTAACCCGCGTCCATGTTAGGGGTCCACAACCCTAACCATTTAATCTGGAGCCCCCGCAAAAGTGGTTGGTGAACATAAAGCCTCATCTCAAACATGATGTCCGCCAAGGGGTCCGTCCACCCATACAGTGGATGGACAAAATCCACTTTGCACCAATTGGGATATCCTATGAAAACTGGGACAGGTCACCTACCAAGTTTTGTCCATCCACAGTAGTTTGACCGAAAGCCATGGTGCTTGCACCCAACAATCGCTCGGAATCCCAGAATCGAATCGGGGAAATCGGCCTGGTGCTTCTCGAAGGGACCAGACTGCTCTGTGACCACCGGCAGCAAACTATTCACCTCCCGGTTAAAAAACATGATTTCGTGTTGCTCGAAGGGGAACTCCACGGGATCTGTTCGTTTGTCGCTGACATGGTCTTGAACATCTGCCGAACATCGCTAGTTGAAAGGGAATTTCTCCTGGTATCGTAGAACGTGATGCCGAAAACGTGTTTTTCTCCAATGGAAGTGCAGTCCAGGCCCCTCCCACTGATTAAAAACTCAGAAGGTTGGGAAAAAATGAATCCAGGTTCCAAGGGTTTGGGAATGTCTGACAATATTTGAGCAAAGTAAACAACCCGTCTTGTCAAATTCAGAGGGTCAAATCTCGAGCCTTGCAACTGGTTGTTTCGTTTTTAGATTGCCCAAATGATCACGCCCAATTTCGCCACGCTCTCCTCACTCCTGCACTGTCCATGTCTCAATCGGCGCTCGGCATCTTTTTTTGCGCCCTGGAGATGGGGTGCCAAGGGAGCGATAGAAAAAAACAGTCCCTCGGTCCCTCGAAAATCAGCCCCCCGGCCTTCATGATATCATGTATGGCGGTCAACACCAGGAGCGCCAGAGTGCGCCTAAGAGAAGGCCAGATGTTTGTCTAAAGTTAGGCCAGTGGACACCACGCGCTTGGCCGCCACTTGGCCTCTCTTCGAAGAGGCGAAATGAAAACCACATCCAGTTTCGGAGGCTTGTAACCCCATTCAGAACCATTCGCCCAAGCAGTCTCCGGAAGCGCTGCCGTTTCACATAGCTCCTAGCCAGGGAAGAAGGCTTTAGGCTGCACGGCAAATGCAAAAAAAAACATGATCCACTGGGCCTTGTGGACTTCTTTCGTGATAAGAAACCATACGTCCCAGGGCCAAATATATCAAGGAGGCTCTGGTCATGAGGAAACTCTACCGTAAAAAGGGGAAAAACGGCGAATCATGCAAAGTCCTAGAACGTGGTGGCTAGCAAAGTGCGGCATCAAAACGCAGGGCTCTCTGGATTCTCCCTTTGAACATCACCCCACCAAAGGAAAAGCATTTGGATCACCCCAAAAGGTGATGTTTCAAAGTACTACAAAGGGAATATGGGTGTCTCTAAATGGGAAACCCCCTGTAATGGGTGGTTTTGTTTTCGTTGCCCGCTAACCAACCCCAAACAAGGTACCCTCACACAGGTAACCCTGAACAGGGAAAGTGCACCACGCAAGAGGCGATCCCATCACTCTAGGGCCACAGAGGCGATCCCATCACTCTAGGGCCACCGCTCAGGGTCGTTAGCACCATTGCAAAAGCCGCCTGCGACCGGCTGTGTCCGCATGCGTCAAAACGAGCTCAGCCCCCCAAACCCACCGGGTTTGTGTAGGGCGGGCGCCTCCATCCTTGCACTTGCCATAACACATGTGGAACCAGGTAGTGCTGTAGAACCCCCTCGTGAATCCTCATGAAACGACCAATTGGAGCTTTGGACGCTCATGGTCTCGCAAACCAACATGAAGCGAGCCATGTGACAGCAATTCCACTGGTAGGACTGACAGATTGACAGGGAGACAAATGCATTTTAAGATCACCATACTTTGTTTTCACACATTGCGCTTCTTCCCTTTTCGAGACGAACTACCTGACTGCCAACTTGCGCACCAGGCAGACAACAAGCACCGCCGGCCTTGAAACAACCCTGCGGACACGAGGATCTTCCCAATCTGAGCCATGTCGACCTGCGTCCGAGACGCAATTCCCTTCAAAACCAAGAGGGGAACAGGCAAACCAGTCCACGCAAACCAACAGGGAGGGTCTCCAAATGGTGGACCCCTTGTTTGGTATTTAAAGGGACATCAAGAGGAATCCAATCTTTTTAAGTTTTGGGGAATCGATTCCTATTTTGAAAAGCACGCAGGCAAACATACCCTACCAACATGGACGTGCACATGACTTGTTTGTTGTGGTGCTTTTTATGGTATGGGTCCCTTTTTGGGGTTGGCTTTCAGGTGGAAACCAAAAGCCCCCACACACACACACACACACACACACACATGATGCATCCTATTTTGACGAAAGCACTCTTGGGGGTTAGAGACCTGTGCAGGTATGTGTCCAAGGGGGCTTACAAATTGGCTTGCATCCCTGTTGTCTTCCCTTTAAACCAACCTAAAGTGTACCGAAGCCTCAAAGAAACACATACGTATACATATATCATTATAACACAATATAATATGATACAATTATAGGTATTACATATATATATATATATGGGTATATATATATATATTAGTTGCATAGAATTGAATGTGGATACATGTCAATCAATAATATATATATATATATGTGTATATATATATATGTACATACATATACACGTAAACAATATATATTATATATATATAGGTAGGCATAATATGTAGGCAGATTGTATCTACATAGATTTTGGATGTTTTAAGGGTATCCATTTTTGTTGGTGGCTTTGAAGGGACACCAAGAGGACAACCACCATTTTAGGGCTCCCCCCCAAAAAAAGGAGCCACACCCACATATGGGTGTCTTTTCTGACATCCCCTCTGTGGTTGCTTTCGATGGGGAAACCGATGGGGAAACCGAGCTGGAACGACTTGACTCGAAGCCTTGGAGTAGAAGGTCTGCCTCTTCTTCAAATCGTCTGTGCTCCTGGACCCCGCGGGGAGTTAAGCCCATGGGGGCGGGGCGGGGCGGGGCGGGGCGGGGCGGGGCGGGGCGGGGGCGGGGCGGGGCGGGGTGGGGTGGGATGGGGTGGGGTGGTGGGGTTCCAAGAACCCTCCAACATACCTTTTAGAGCATACAAACACCAAATGAAAGCAATTATTATCATGGGGGAGGGTTGGGATATGCTCAAAAGGTATGTTTCGAGGGTGCTTGGGCTGGTTCTCTCAACATGGTATTGGTTCATATGGGTTTGTCTTGAATGGGGGAACACCAAACGGTTGGTTTCCTTTTGGTTCCTTTTTCACCAAAAGGAGGCTCCCCCACAAAGCAATATGAAAACACCCATATATCATATAGGGCCTTGTCTGTAAACCTATAAAAATGGGAACCAACCCTTCAGAGCAATCATCGGCCGGAGCATATCAAAGCGTACTGCTACCTCTGTCTTCTGTCCTTGTTGGAGATTCAGACATTGAGGTCAGCGGCTTCCAGTCCTTGCACATGGCGTGATGAAGGATGCGTGATACATAGGATTGCAGTACAAACAAATATGTTCCGCTCAGTTGAGAGACCACTTTTGCCAACTGACTTTGGGACCCCTGTCCCAAAGTCAAAGGGAGCAGCGGACGAAGTTTCTGGCGAAATTGGGTGGGGTGCCCGCCTGGCTTTGGAGGAACTTTGGGTGGGCACATGCCCTCCTTTACCTGCAGGGAATGATCCTTATTAACCGTCCCTTGTGGTTTCCTTTGCGGGAATCCACAGGCTAATTCCGAAAACCTGGAACGGTCACTCCCTACTGAGCACCAGCAACTTGAAACCAATACAATGTCTGCAAATTGTACCATATGTCCAAAACCTGAAATAAGGGATCCCCAAGTCCCAAGTAAAGGATCTTTACCATGGTGAGCTCATTTACCCCCGAATCGGTGAGCTGGAAGAGATGATGCCGAACACCTGGACCAGTGGTATTGACAGTTGCTCTTTTACCCAATGGAAGCGGATGAAGCCCTTGGGGCCGGGCAGTGCCGACGCCATAGACGAATGACTGCAGGCCATCCCCATGCAAACGCATCAGCCAATACACCTCGCGCAGGCCACGGACTCGTGTGATCCCAGCCGCCCAACTGAGTCCCGCTAAAGAAGCAGCGGGTTGCACCCCTTCGTGAAACAACTGCATGTGTATTTTGAGGGCAGGCTTTTGGGGTTGGTTTAAAGGGAACCCAAGAAACAACCCACCGTTTTGCCGGGCACCCCTATTTGGACACATACCGAATCAGTCCGCACATGTGGATTTTTGCGAGAAAGAGAGAGCTGCTGGGTTCCGCACCGCGAAGAGTGCGCCCAAAGTGCGCTGGTATTCATCGGCAGCCTAATGCTATTCGGCGCTGGCCAAAGGCCATCAGGTCTGATGGATACCGCTTGCTTCAAATCCGCTGGCGGAATCCCTGGGACCAAACCTTCAGGGAAAAAGGAAGCCCTGGTGTTGGTAGATTAAACAAAAAACAGAACTGGCCTAAATAGTTTTAACATGATCTTTGAAAAGCCACCCCCCCAAGTGGTGAGTTCAAGACAAACAACCCAATTGTCTGACTTTGATAAAAACCCCAAAGTCAACATAGTGACCCCAAAAGAAGTCCCCAAACAAGAAACATAAGGGCCGCGTTTCAACTTCCCCCGCTTTGCATCTGTCCCGTCGCCAAGTCGCACTACGCCCGCTGGAGGTTGCCTCGTTCTCGGTGGCCTTAGCTGCCAATTCACAGCGGCCGAAGGGATTTCCCCTTCAAAAGTTGCCATTGAAACGATCGCCACCTTAGGTTCCAACAAGAATGAAGGAAACCCGGATTCAGCTCCACTCTCCCTGGTTCTTCTTTCAACTAAGCCCTCATACAACCATACTCAATCTGTTTGCCCACCCTATGGACGATACCCTCCATCCGCAAACCCCTGAAGATCTGAGAAGCCTCTTTCCTGGATGGTGTTGGAGTTACGTGGTTGGCAAAGGGCGGTCAACATGGGCTTACCAATCACTTTCCAACAATGGACGCGGACAGGGAGGTTCACCAAGAGTAACAACTACTTTCCTCACCTTCCTGTGAGCTTCTGTGCTTGGAGGGAAGGTAAACACTGATTTCCCTGAAATGTGGCTGGTGGGTGAGCTCAAGGGGCACCTACCCTGCGGCACCGCAGCGGGTTCCAAAACGGAGCCGACCATCTATTTGAGGCCGCGGCCATGAAAAGCTGCAGCTCAGGAAAAGAGGCCACGCAATCCTGGCCAAGGGCAAGAAGAACAATGGGTCATCAAAATGCGGGGGACTCGGGAACCCCAAATTTTCTGTGATTCTTGTTCCTTTTGGTTTCCTCTGAAAGCATCCCTGAAAAGGGTGTCAAGACTCAAACATGCTTGGTCAAATGAGTGATTCCCATGTGGACGCCCCCAAAGGTGGTCAATCATTGGCTTGGCCTTTAATCCCAAAACAGGCAAAGAGACACACCCAAGGTGGGTGTATCTAACAGAGGCTTGGTACCCTGTTTGGGGGTGCAAAAAGAAACGACATGGAATGACAACCACCATGTTGAGAGGGGGTTCATAGTTCGGCAATAAAAACTGCCACCTGACCCGCGACCGGTCCTCGCAGTAGTCTTTCAGACTGTACTCGGGATCCTGAGACAATCCAACCATCTGCCAATTTGCAGCACCGCGACCCCCAAAAGGCGGGTCGATGCTATTCAAGTCATAGCCCGTTTGCGAGCATGGAAATGCAGTCTGGACAGAATCCAAACATAGGGTACATTGACCACCTCACATGCACATGGATTTCCGAGGGCGGCGCGCAAATGTGTGTTGCCGCATGCCACGCTCGCTCCTTGGAGCACTCAACAGCCAAAAGCTAACTGCACAATGAGGCCAAAAGAAAAATGGACCCTCGGTTCCGGTTGGTAAATCCCATTGGGTTGCTTCATTGGGAATCCTTCACCTCTCAAGTCGGGAATCCAGTTTTTCGAGGAGTCAAGGCCACTTGCAGATACGCCAAGGCGCCCAATTGGTTGCCCTGCCTCGCATTAGCTCCTGGCTGGATCAATCCATGGATTCAGCTCAAGGTCTGCAAACAAAGAGCGCCCCCAAAACATCGCTGGAGATTCGCTCCAACACCGTCCAAAAGGTGAGATTCAAGTGGGCTCAAAGGGTAATGGCAAACGCCCAATGTCCTTGAGCCTGCTGTTGGGCTCATCCTTGACTGAGAAGACCATCGGTTCCTCACAGGAAGATCTGACAAACCTCAAACCTCACCTGCCCCAAACCGCGATTCGCAGAGATTTGGTGCTGCGCATTGGTCGCGTTTGAGTGTGTGCAGCGGGCTTGTAGGCCCTGTCAAGCCGGGCAGGCAGAGGCGTCAAAGGCAGCCAGGCGGCGAGCAGAACACGATTTCATTCATCTATTGTGGGTCTGCATTTGATGGGAGAACCCAGCCAAACCCATCTCGGTAACCAAATGTTGAGCACTCACCTGAGACCCGGACTGGAAGAGGCAGCTGGCGCTTAGAGGCAGGCCTCAGATATTCTCCAAGTGACTGAGCTCCAGCCCAATGAAACTTCCTTTTGTGTGGGAGGAGTGTGGGAGGGTATTTGGAAGACCTATTTCCTCTTCAAGGGTGCCAGGTGCCATGTTAGTGACAGAGAGGGTAGCATGTTTGGCCGGCCCATCCCGGCATGAAGGTATTCAATTTCAGCTCGTATCTGCACGCCGGTATCGTTCACATTGGACATGGCCCGTGCAAGCTTCGCAAAGCAGTGTTGCAGGCAATCCAACGTCCCACCTGAAAATGAGCACACCCATAGTGTGATTCCCCTGGATGGAAGAGCACGAACATGAGTCTATCTCCGAGTAACTCTTCAACTCCAACCAAGGGTTTCATCGTTCTACCCGAAGTAAACTGCAAGAAAGATGTGAGATGGCACAAGTAGCCCAGTTGTCGACTGATTGCATGTCAACTCACCTGAGGCAGCAGCAAATTGAGCTCCTCTACCTTGGCATTTGAGTGTCGAGGTCGGCCAAAACCCTAAGTGGCTTAAAGTGGTTGTATTTTAAGGGATTCTCACAATTACCTGTTCTTTTCTTGTTTGGGGGGGGTTCCATCTAAATGGTTAATCAGACAGCCTCGCGGGGCTGGACGCGTGCGCAAGCCAAGGGGCTGTAGCTCCCGTGATGTCCATCAGCGTCATCTTCAAGCATTTCTCGGCCGGAAAGAATAAGCGGCCGAACGCGCAGACGGTAAGGAAAGCGACACTTTTGGGGGGCTGACCATTTTAAGTTGGAAGCGTACCAAAAAAAACAATGCAAAGAATGGTGCCACTGAACATCGGAGCCCATCCCACATACCCAAAGAAAAACAACATGTCAAGGCAGGATCTGGGCACGCGTTGCAAGGACAATCACAAATGAACAACAGGCAACGTGCCAGGTCTTACAGAAATGGACACAAGGGCAAGCTAACAGGAAATCAGTATAACCCCGGTCTTTTGGACGGGCCGTGTGTTTTGGCGAAGGTTGGAGTACCTTCACCTTTTTGGGGACACCAGTTTTCCATCGTGCACAAAGCTTCGGCGGCTACAAAGACATGGCTGACCCAGGAAAAGGGCCCCCACAAAGGACCCTTCAACAAAGAATTTGGAGTCACCTAATGTTGCGGCCCAAGTGGGAGACTTGCTGAAAAAGCCTCACTTTCTTGGACATGTCTTTCCAAGATTGGCATGCGCAGAACCTGTAGAAATTCTCTGAGGCGTGGCACAACTTTACCAGGGCTCCAATTCTGGTGGCATGGCGTGAGGGAAGCTTAACCAACAGCTGTGGTTGCCTGGTACCAAACACAAGGGACCCCACCAGCCCTCGCTCAAAGACACCCCCCGCACTTAAGGCCTTATTCCCTGAATACAGCTTGTTAAGCCCTAGGTATTTTCGCTGGTAGACTCCTGCAAATTCCAACTGCCCACAAGTCACTCAAATTTGTTGGAAGATCATCGAGTCATGCTTTGTATCCAATCATCACCCAGTGGTCAGGGCAAGCAATCCAAACAAAACAACACTTTTATAAGACAGTGATTTGGGTGATCAAGACCATCAATGCGGATTGTTTTGTTGGGTAGGGGAATGTTCAGAATCATGGAACCTTTGTCTTGTTCTGCAAAGAAGCCAGTGTGAACCCGACGTGTTTTGACTCATCCCGACAGTGGCTTCCTAATTAAAACAGGAAAGGTGTCCGAATGGTTGGTGTCCTTTTGGTTTTCTGTTGGTTCTGTCGGGACATGCAAGATGGTGGGATTCCGTGTGGTTTCTTTTTGAGCAAAAGACAGGGGACCTGTTGCAAGGGGCCCAGGAAGGTGTTTGTCGACGCAAAGAGTGAAATGGTCGAGCTCTGGAATCCCTCTTTGTTGGCGTTCTACGATGATTATAAAGGTTGATATGGGTCTAACTTTTTCGTGGGGACCCTCCAAAGAAATGTGTTTCTCCTCCTGGTTTCCCCCAAAACCCACTCCCCCCCACACAAAAAAAAAGGAATCCTCAGAAAAAGACCCACCCACATAGGCCTTTCCAGACTGCCCCACTAGTAGATCGACCCCTCACCGGGAAGCTGGGTAAAACCCTGGGCTCCGCACCCTGCGCCCAATGAGGCGAGCCTGCGCCTGGAGGAGCCCCCGGTTCGGTGAGGTTCAGACGTCGAGTTCCAGGGCTGGTGAAATGGAAGCCACGAATCTGTGATACATCAAGGAAGGGTGTCCCCAAGGAGAAAAACGCGCCAACTTGTTGGGGGAGATTCCCCAAAGTAGCACAGAAGTGGGCTCGGAGAACCCCCGAGTGATCCCACAAGGTTCACCTCAAAAAGTGCCTGGCCCCAAGATGCTACCCGAGTGTACTGGGATACACTCCCGCAGACTAACATGGAAGCTCCCAGAAGGTGTTTGCAAATGGAACCAAGTCTTTCAAAGGGATCCTGGGAGCTTCCGTGTTAGCTTGGGGGAGAGTATACAGACAGCCGCAAAAGAAGCCGGTCTTCAAGCAGTATGTTCCCGTTGAAAGTGGAAACCATCGCTGGTAGGTGACCCACCCCAGTATTGATAGGGCTTCATCCATCCCAACTGGTGCAGGATATTGTCAATAGACACCTATGCGTGGAGGTTGAGCACTTGAGCTAACAACTGGATTCTGCTGACAGACTGACACTTGGTGGCTTCCTCCTTGAGCAGGGTTTCATGAGTTTTCTCTAAGCAGTGGCTTGTAAGCATCATCTGTTGGGGGCAATTTGAAGTGTGCCCACAATGAAAATATGGGATCATGGAAACTGTGAAGATTGGGGAAGGTGCAAAAGGCGCCTGTGGACCATTTTCTCCTAGCGACCAGCTATGTGGGTATGTGAGCCACGGTCAAAATTACGCAGATTGTCCCAACAGGACATGGACAGGACATAGGACACTTAGGGCTCGTCCCCCGGTTTCTGTGGCTGACTTTTGTTTCAGCTTGTCCATCCTTGTGCCGAACCCCAAATGGACCAAGTCAGAAAATGTTGAAAGAACCCTCAAAACCTCCGAGGAGCAAGCCGCAAACTGCTGGCTTCAACCGACTTCCAGTGGAAGGTACAAGTCAGCTGGTAAAAGTGTTGACTGTTCAACCGGCCCAAATGTACCCAGATATTGTTCAATCACCCATTCGCTTCACATTCCTCGCCTGGAAAGGCTGCCAGGTGTAGTGCATGGTAACCTCGGTCCACACCCTGCAGTGTAGAAACCCCATCACGTGCCATGGCAGCTTCCGACAGATCTTCCAAAGAGAAAAACCCTGGTCCAACATGATCTTGCTAGATGTCATTCATCCAGCCAGCCAGCCCATGATCTCTGCAAGACTATGTGACTAATCTTCTTCCTGATAAAGGCCCATTTCCCCCACCGTCCCAACTCCAGTCGCATGAGGGAGCCTTTTAGAACCAAGACAAACCTATTGCTACACCAATACGCAAATCCAAACAATGTCACTGATGTCTGCTGTTCAAATTACTCGGACAGCTTAGTGAAGGATTGTTGGAAAGGCGAGACCTCGCTTGGACGATGGTCGAAGACCGAAAAGGACAAGCCACAACTCGGGCCCCAGAAGGTTCATGCTGTTGCTCTTCTTTTCCTTTTTGGGATGCTTCTTTGATTGGGGTCCCTTTCATTATAGGGGGAAAGGATTATTCCGTGTCGCGTCCCACATGTTGCGACCGAGTTGCAGAATCTTCTGTAGCTCCGTGAGAAATCACAAAGTCATTCCTGGCACGATGTGTCGGCTCGACGCCGTCTACACGCAGGCCGGCAGAATTACATGGGAAGAGTCTGCCCAAGTATAAGGCAAGAGTGTGCCCAATGTTGCAATTAGTTCGGATGGTCATGTTTCTTAGTGGTATCATAACGTGATGGAAGCATCCCTATCAACCCCAGTCGCCAAGTGTTTACCGCAAGAACTCCCCACGTGTGGGTCATGGTCCATGTGAATCGGACGCCCTTGTCTAGACGTTCCGATGGCCGTAACTGGTACCCCCTTCACAAGGAAACAAGCTTCGTGTTTTTCATCAACTCCAATGATCCGTCGAAATTGGGTGTGAATTCTTGGGGACCCTTCGGTAGACATCATTTACGGGTCCAACCATGTTCGAGGGTGACATAGGCTGTTCCCCATTGAACTTCATTCATTGCAAAACGACAACTAGATTCCCGTCTCAAAAAAAGGAAAAGAAAACCCAGTCTGTCAACGGCCCTCCCAGGAGGGTCCTTTACAAAGGACCTCCTGGGAGGTGTGTGCGCGCATGCTTTGCTGGCCATGCCATGCAGGCTTACCAAGTCGGCGGAAATTATGCGTTTCATGAACTTTGCAATTGACTCCTTGGAAAGTTTAGATGACAATGACGATTGAGGCCTGCGCTCGAATCCGGGCACTTGGGGCAAGGCGCAAAATGAAAGTCCTAATTAGGACACTACTCCGGCACACAGGACTAATTGGAGAAACGCAAAGACAAGGACATCATCTTGCATCTTGCAATGGCAATGACGTGGACTGGACAAATCAAGTTGTCAAATCGGCGAGCAAGAATTCCGCGTGAATTAGCGTGAGAAGAACCTCTGAGCGCGTGAAAGGACCCTCCAGAGCGTGAAATTAGCGTGATTTAGCGTGAATGGCGGGTTCTGAGATTTCAATTTCATTGTCTGGACTGCATGGGCCTTGCTTTGTCTGAATGAAAGCCACTGCAATGAGCACCACTATGTGGCCAGTTTGACACACGCAAAATATCTAGCAACACTGTTAAGTACACGGTGATTCGAGCTTCGCATTTGCGCTTACGTCGCAGGGAGCAGAAAGCTGCAGTTGAGTGCATTTCGGTAGGCTAAGTGAGAAACAGTCTTTCAGCTCGAATTCCACCAAACCGGACAGGATTGAGCGGGCTCGAAAAGCATTGAAAACAGAACGGCCCTTCCTGCAGGGTCCTTTGTCTGGCAGGCCTTCCCGGAAGGGCCTTTAGATGCATTGGGAAAACAAACCTCAAAAGGTCCGCCTATTTTTGTTCGACCCTGCTACACATTTTCCTGTGCAAGGAAACCGTCTATTAGAACCCCTAGGGGTCTGCGCAGCCATGGCCACCAAATGGCTCGAGCAAACTCGCCGGCCGACCCTTCGGGCAGACCCAGCAAAGTGTGCGGGTCTGCCACGCGGCAGGTGACCTGGAGAAATTGAACTCACGCATGTGCGTGCCGTTCCTTTTAATGTTGACGAATCAACCCCTGTTTACTAATAGGGGGTGTCCCTGGGTTTGGTGGGGAATCATCACCTTTGACGTCAACACCCCCCTAGTAATAAACTGGGGTTGTTTAATATGGGAACAACATTACCAAGGCGAACTTAAACCTAATAAATTCCAGCGATGGAATCGGCCGTTGGGGTAACCCAAAGGATGTGTCCTGCACCTGCAATGTGGTGCCGAAACCCAAACAAAGCGAGCCCTGTTTGGTCAATTTTGAAGGCACGCCAAACGAAGTGTTGGCTATTTGGAGGGTCCAGCGATGATTGGCACACAGCCTTGTGTCAAAGACCCCTCTCTGGTGGTAACAGCAGCCATGGGAACCAGCACTTTGACAACTCACAACTATGTAGATGTAGCCAACCCAAAAAACCACCCTTGCCATTAAAGTTGCCTCTTTGACATGCTCCCACGTGCCCTGATTCTGTGCACGTAGACACATGTATCACTTCCCAAAAACTCATCTCTGCTGTCAGAAGCTGCTGGTGTGCAAGCGCAGAAGCTTTGGCCTTCAGCTTCTGCCGCTCGATTTTTTTTGTCGGCGAATCGCCATGCCCAAACATGTGTAGCCAAATTGTGGCATCCCCTGCTTTCATCGTATACACTCTTCCAGGAGCTTCAAGGCTACCGCTCTGTGCAAAGAAGCCTGGGTCTGGACCACGTATATATATATATATATATATCCAGCTACATGATACAAAGACCGCCACGCACATTCTCTGCCGCCATCTAGCAGGACCACCGGGGTTGGAGGCGTCGCATGTGCCTAACTTGACTGATGTTGTGGATTCCTACGGATTCCTACGGATTCCTACGGATTCCTACGGATTCCCATGGATTCCTATGGATTCCTACTGTGGATGGACGAAATCCTGCACCGCTTTGAAACCAAGGGAGTCCACTGTTTGTTGATATTTGCAGGGGAATCATCATTCCAGGGTTTCTTAGATGGTGCAGGATTTCGTCCATCCACAGTACGGATTCCTATGGATTCCTGCGGATTCGAGGTGCGGGAGAGGCAGCGAAACGGATCGATTCATGAACGGATCAGCCTTATGAATCCTCGCCTTGCCAGCTTCCGGCGGCCAAGGTGCAACGTGTTTACTTCGATAACGAGGATGGCGGGTGCTTGTACTCCGTGCTTTTGACCATAGTGGTCCGCCCTCCTTAATCTGTTGGACGGCCGGCGCGTGTTTGGCATATCATTGGAGAGTCTTCACAGAACGAAATTCTGTTGGCATCCAATTATGTCGGGCCCAGAGATGCGTTCCAATTCCGGCATCATTTTGAGGTCGCAGTCCATTCCTACGAGCCTGCCTCTTGGAAAGCTTCTGATGGTACTCTTCTGCAGATTAACATGGAACCCCAATGGCATCGAATTGTGGAACTATCTGCTTGGAGGGAACCACCTTTTGTGTTCCATGCTACTGTTAATGTTTAGGGGAGTATCATCCTTGGTACAGTTTCCTTCTCCAAAGTTTCTGGGGGCTGGGGGCTTCTGCTCTACCAAGTGCCTACAACGAAGGTGCGATGACAATGCCGAAGCCACAAAACCTCAAATGTAAACTCGCTACATGGGTTCCCTTGTTCCGTATACTTGAAATCGGCGTAAGCAAGCGGAGCACACCAGACCGGACCAGCCTCATGAATGTGGTATGCAGTCTTCAGCCCAGGGTATGACAACGAGTACCTGTGAACAAATTTGGCCTCGCGAGCCCGGCGCCGGCGAGACTTTACCTGATCATTCTGACTACTCGGGGTTTGATCAAAAGGTCCGATACACATGGGATGACCCTAGGGGAAACCTCTAGAAAAAGAAGATATGTCCCACTAAACAAGAAAAGTCACACATGGTCATTTTGGCCAGGCGTATTGAGGCAAATGAGAATTTCCTTCCAAGCCTTTGCGCAGTCGCAAGCCCATGCAAAACGCTGGTGAAAACGACTTGGAGTACTGGAAGGTTAGCAACATGATGCGCCTCTCAGACCAAAAAACGGGACGCTAAAAAGGCCCCTATTGCTGACAACCCCGGCATGAAGCACGCACGAGTGAATCAGTGAAGCCCCGACAAGCTGATTCTCGGCAACTCACTGAGCGAATAAACAGCGAAATGCAAAGTTTACTTGTTCAGCTGAAAGGAGATCAACATGCTAGTGGACAGGATCAAAAGATTCCGGGTGCTTTGGCTGAGTCTTTGTTTGGGAACCCTCTGGCGGACATCAGATCAAATTTACATGGGGATTTATTTCCACCAACCATTGTCGAAGGTGCTCCTCATTGAAATTCAGTACGACTCTGTCACACGCCAAAAGCCGTCCACGAGCACTCGATCTCTTGGAAAAACTGCTTCGAGTTCTTGTCCTCAGTGACGTGACCCGCCCGGTGGGTCCTCTGGTTCTGTACGGAAATTTAGGGCCCCAATGTTCTCCCGAATTAGACTCATTTTGTCAGCTCAGGTATTCACCGCTCTGATACGGAAGCAGTCTGTTCCAAATAATTACTTGCCAGCCGTAACACAAAAGAATACGGCCTGGAACTCATGCATCTTGAATGCAGGCATCGATACCCTCAACTGAGGGAGAGCCCAACTTAAAAAGCGGCGCAAGATCAAACGGCTGCGCGTCAACCCAGGCCCTGGCAACAATGATGCTCTTTCTCTTAAAGCTTTCCTGCGAGGGCGAAAGCATGCAGAAGGCGCACTGGGTAGCTTACACGGAATGACTACAGAGGAGCTCTGAGCTTAGGCGTCCAAAACCTGGAAGAAAAAAACGGCTCGCTGGCAAACGATTGGAACCGGAGCGAAATCAGTGCCATCTATCTTTCACCAAAGTCAGTTGCAATGCTTCGCTCAATCTCTCGCTGCCTCCCTCCCTTCCAATCACAAATGCACAAAACCAAACCAATGCACTGCTCACTTGCCTCCAGTCCAAGTCTGATGGACAGGGCTTGGTCCAAAGCTTGCTCCCACGTCATTCCTTTCCTGGGCCATGTGACGATGCGTGACGTGGGTTCAATAAGGGCTAGGGATAGGTGCCATAGGTGTCTGGTTCCCGTGTCAACCTGGGGTTCAGCCATTGGTTCCTTGTTTTGCGTGCCTAACGGGAACTGAAAAGAAAACAAACGTGTTGAGGGTTCCGCCATTTAGGAGACACACATCCAGGTGCCCATACTTGTGCAAGCCATTCACAACCAAAGGTGTGGGTGATGGCGTTTGAGGTTTTGAAGGGCATGGCTCCAGCCAGAACTGGACATATCATGAAGCCCCAGCAGAAGCTGTGCTTCTGCAGCGTATCACTCTTCCTGCAATCAATCCCCGTCAATGCCCAACCGCGACTTGCGCATGTGCCAAAATAGGAGGACATCAAAAAACTGTGCTTTCCCTTGTGGTTTCCCTTGAAACCAACCTGAGAGGTGCAAGCAACCGACTGACCATTGCTTCGGCTTCTGCGAAACCTTCCGCAGGTCGCTCAGGTTTTGCTTTTGCGGGCCCAAGTTGTCACGTGTTCTCGCAAACCTGCTTACGCAGCGCACTTTTGCAGCTCGCAAATCGCAAATCACGACTTTGAAGTACAAGCTGAGATCCCCTGCGCAAAGTTTAAACTTAGTGGGTGAAATGGAACCCCCAACTAAACCCTAACAACCTACGCAACCGGATGGCTGGGAACATTGCCAATCCAAATACGGCCGGCATTGTGATTCAAAGCGTTGGGCTTTGAGTGGGCTGACTGACTTACGATGAATTCGCAAGAGGGAAATCAAACATCAAGAGCAACACGACTTCATTGAACCAGAGTAGAGCCTTCGCGAACCTCTGACGCGGTTTAAGTTTTGACAACAACACCTTGACCGCGGGCTTACACGGCCCACATGTTTTGTCTTGCACAGAAGCATGCTAGCATGCTACAAGGACTGAGTCCAAAGGTCTAAAGTCTTCACTGGAGGGTGTTGGGCGCTCCCCTGAAAAGGGTGTCATCAAAACACAGGGACACATGGGGGTTGATCAATATTCCCTGCGGCCCCCCAGTTTTGACCATGGGTAACTTTCCCATTTCGTGGGACACATCAGCTTTCTAGTGACTTTCTGCAATGGTCATCCCATGTAAATTACTTTTCCGCATCGGCTTGGACCTGAAGCTTTCATGGCCAACCACTCCGCTTGCCTTTCAAAAACCTGAGGCTCTGACTCCAGCGACATGCAAATCGGCCTATCCTGGCGGGTATGAATGTGCTTGACCACTTCTCTGACTTAGCGCAAATTGAAAGGGAGCATAAAAACACACACACACACAAGGGGCAAAGACCAAGATATGCAGTTCTGTCTGGCAATGTGTCATGCTACATGCAGCATGATGCGTTGATCGGAAGTCAAGTAGAATATTTTATAACCTCTGCCCAGAATGGCCAGCACAGCGTCAACAACTATGCTCAAATTATTTGTCCTTCGCTCAGGAAATTCTTGGACGACAAGTTGCTAAGCCTACTTGTAGGGTCTGTAGGGTGTATTCAGTGCCACCTCTAAAGCGACCCGGTGGGTCATTACGGCAATCTTGATGCCAAGGGACTAGCAGTGACTCGAAGATTGAAAATAAGGCACTAGGAACTCCACGCAATGTGGAGGGTCAAAACCCACCTGGCCATGGCTCACATACGAAATCTATGTCTATTCTCATGCTCATGGCCATCCCTGGCAAGCCTAAGGGACTTTGTCATCCATGGCCCAATTGTTTCAACCCAAGGCCGAAACCTCCTGGGGGAGTATGCTAGCAATTATCTAGCCCCTTCTCTTGGCCAACATCCGGGATACACTGGATTGTTTAGTCTACCCTGAAATACAATGCTGTTTTGGAGGAAGCCCCATACCCAGCTGCCAAAGCGGGCCGCGACTTGTCCACCACCTCCATGGGTCCCCAGACCCGCCTTCAACTTCGTCACAAGGAGATGCGTCACGCCCAAGATCTCCGTCACCAGCCACACCTGGCGGTGACACCTTCGGTTGGGTTTCAAACCCACCGATGGAACCCAGATGTGCGCCCTGGGTCGATTAATGTTGAACCCAAAAGGGCTCCCCAAAACGAAATTCCCCTGAAACAATCAGGTTTGACCGCTTCGCTCGCTGTCATGAGGCGACGCTGATCTAAAGAGTTTGGTTCCCGGAGCAACAATCCTGTGACAAATCACAACGACCTCCTTGCAAGGACATCGCCTGAGTTCGCCTGAACGAGCGCTTGAGGGCTTCCAGTTGTGCAGCCAGGGATCAGGGGCCGCCCAACGTGGCCTTTTGCCCACAAGAGGAGCAGGGGGACTAGGCACATGAAATACCACCTAGTCCGCTCACATGGCGGGTTCACAAGATGCGAATCTCTTTGAGCATCCCCCATTTAATTCATGCACAACATGACGCTGAAGCGGTTCTCGACCATACAGGGGCCGATTCCATGTTGGGCAACCTCTGACCTCCACAGCGGAAATACGGCAGTCGGAAAGCATGCTGATGGGTACTTCAAACTAACAAATTAGAACCAACATCGTGGAGTCTCCTTTCGGGGCGCCTTTTGAGGCGTCGTTGCTTGCCAGGAAGGCGAACGTGCATCGAGAGCCTTGATGACTCGGAGGTGTCTGATCAGCTCGCCCTTGATGACCCTCAAGGTTGACGCCTGCAGGTCGACGTGGGCACATTGGCTATCCGCTTGGAATGACTAACGCGAATCACGGGCATTTGAGGCTGGGCATGTAGGCGGTCCATCCTATGGTTTCCCGCATATGAATCCTTGAACATGATTTGCTTGGAATGTTCAGCAACTTGGAGGGTATTCCAACCATCAAACATAGCCTGTCTGGCTTCTTGGAAACCTTAGCCTGGGCTGTGATAAAATGGCCAGCTGATGTGTCCATGAGGATCCGGGCCTGCTTCTCGTACACTTCTGTGAGCAAATCTGCGAAGGACCCGTGGGGCCATTCATCCAACTTGATGTTGTTGTCCTGGCGTGTAAAAAAAAAAACGGTGCGTGTCTGTGCGACTGCTCGACAAGGGTTCTCAAAATCCAGGTGACCAGCTTTCTCTTGGTTTCCCTTCTAAAACCATCCAAAAAGGCCATCCATCCCCCCCATTCTTCGCGAAACACTGCCAGGGAAGCAAAATGAAGAGTTTCACTCACCCAAACCGCGGCTCAGGGGTAAAACAACCCATTGACTTGTCATGCCTTGAGATTCTCGGCCATTTTGCCACATACCAATCGCTTCTCGCCTTCAACAGTTTCGTCAGCACCTCGCTGTTTGTACTTTGCACGCCGGCCTGCGCGTATCGCCGAAGAAACAAGCGGGCAGCTCCGCGTTTTTGTTTCACCAGTCGCAGGTGTTTTTGAAGGGACAGGTGCTGATGGATCCTTGTAGGGTCTGACCCCTCCTAAATCATTTTTGAAGGCGGGCGGTATTTGGGAGTTGGACAGGACAGTTTAGCGGGCAACTACATGAAGATTTGTGTCCACCAAGCTCTTTGAAAGCGTTCCTCATGAATTTGTTTGCCTCTCCCCCCGTTCTGGGACAGTGTGTTCTTTAAGGACATGGGGACTTAGAGGTGCCAAAGGCAAAACAGTCATGTTTTCTGGGTCCTTTGCTTTGCGAATAACCCAACTGAGAATTGAGACAGGACGAATTTCAGGGGTCGCCACGAGAGGTTTTAACTCGAAACCGGAACAGAACAATGCTCCGAGAGGTGATCAAGTGCAGCAAGTCTGAGAAGGGATGATCTACATATTGCAAGGGCGGCGATGGGAACCCTGTAATTTACCGTTGGCTCACTTGGTCAAAGGTGGTCCGGTGGATGGCCCCATTGCTCCCCCCAAAGCCGCCCTCCAGCTTCAACCAGGGATAACTTATATGGCCAAATGCTGTCAGTTGCAGTTGTTCCCAAAACCCTTAAAGTTGTCGCATTGGGCCAATATTACGTCGGGACCCAGTTTCCCTTAGGATTTACCTGTCCTTTTGAGGATACCTGGGCGCAAGAGAAACCTCCGGATTTCCGCTCCCTCGTTTCCCTCGGAGGGAACTCGCTGGCCTCCAAGAAGTTGTGTTCAAAAGGCCGAAAAGTCACATGGGCGTGGCGTTTTGGTTGGGGTACGTGTGGTATTCCTTTCGATTTTCCTTCAAAAGCACAAACCAGGGGTACCCTCAAATGAGACATCCCGAAATGGAGCTGGACTCCTGGCAAAGCTCTCCTGCCTCTGCGCTGACCCACGCCCAATGGCTGCGGTCTTTCGCGGCGAAGGTGCACCTGGCTTCCAAACCAAATGAGTCGTTGAGGGCACCTGCTTTTGGGCTGGTGAAAAGGGAAACCAAAAGAAAACCAAAACTCATTTGGGGGACCACCTCTTTGTGGCACGTGCCCAGTTTCCGCGACCCAGCCATCTTGGAAATGGCAAAATGCGTTGATTTGGCACCCACCAGTTGGTGGGGTAGTCCCCCATGACGCTCAACATCGGCTCTCTAGCTACCCTTGACAGGGTAGGGAGAAGGAGCCTGCCAGTTCGAAATTCGGGCGTGGGTTCGGCAAGCCAAATAGGCAGCCCACCTGGTCTTAGCTGACTCTTTGGTGGAGAATTCGGTGGGTATCCATGCCCACCAACCACTTTTGATCAGCTACCACTTAGTTGGCTGTTAGTTGGTAGTGGTTTGGATTTGTGGTTGAGGATTTGAACCCCAGTTCCGTTTGAAACCAAATGGGGAAGCCCCTAACGTCCAAACCAAAAGACCAAAAAACCAACCCATCAATTTGGGCCTGAGAACTTTCGGCTTCCGAGGCCCAGGCATCCCTGGCAGGCCCAGGCTGCGCAGCTCGTCGCCTCAGGTTTCGTGATCCAGCCAGCCACTGAATGAACCTTAGTTGGTAGATATATTTCACCGAAGAAGCATGACCCACTAAAAAAGGGGACAAACTAGCTTCCAAGGACCAACTAGCTTCCAAGGACCAACTAAACAAGCTTGTTTGTTTCATAGCCCCGTTTGACATGTCACCAGAGAGAGAGAGAGAGAGAGAGAGAGCTGGGCTTTGAAGGGCCTTGTTCCCGTGAAAAAGAGGCCTTAGCTCTTCTTTTTTTTTCCGGTGCTCTCAACTCTAAACTTCAGGACTTGGGTTTGAGAAGTCCGACAGAAAGGACTTTACACTCAGACAGATCTTGAGTGGACCCAATCGGAAGTTCCACAAGGGACTTTCGAGAGCTCACAGAACATCCCGGGCCCAGGCTAAGTCCAAAGCCCTTCTTTTCGCTTCTTGAGGAGAAGACCATGCTGCTCGTGTGGAAGTCTGAAGACTCTCAAGTTTCGCGCTGTCAGAATGGAGGGGGTCTGCCTGTCTGCCTTGAATATCAACTTCCATCAAGGGGCTCTTTGTCTCCGTGGCAGGGCGCAAGAAGCTGGAATCCATCGGCACGTTGCCGACCGTCCCGAAACGTCACGAACAGGCTCCTACCTTGAAGTTTCTCAACAGGCCCTTCCAAAAGCACTTGAGCCCTCACAAAAAAATGTTTACAAGGCCCGCCCCTTCAACCCTCAACAAATCCTACAGGTGTCCTGGTGTCCTTTTGGAAAAATCGACAGGTAACCAATCAGACCCCAACTGAGCCCAGGGAAAAACCAGCTGGATGTGTTGAAATAGGGAGACCAACAAATTTGTTCCTTTGTTTTCCTTTGTAACCAAGCTGAAAAGAATACCCTCGAGGAAAGAATCATGCAAACTGAAAGGGTCCCTGCTGGTCCCTGCTAGGGTCCCTTTCAGGGTCCATGTTGCACGTTTGTTTTGGAAGGGTGCCCCCTAAAAAGACGACCACCCCAGCAATTGTTCAACCCAACCGAGGGTCAAAGCACACCTCAAGTCTGAGCACCGGGCGATCAGGGGACACGCGGATGCGCACCCTGCCATCGGATGCGGTCTCCAAACTCGTTGAAGCGCTTCATTTTGGGGCACTCAAAATCAAACCTTGGTATTCAACGGGCCCAAACATGTGGGTATGAATCTTTAAGACCCTCCAGTGACTTTCGGTCTATCAGCAGCATCCCCAGCTGTCTCTTTTGCTGTCATCTGCATTGAGGACTCTCCTTGTGCTGACACGTCTCGTCCCTTCAGTGGACACAGGGCTCGATCTCCACATCCATTTTTAAGGGTCTTCCCCGTTCCATTTCATAGCCAAGCAAAGAGTCAGAAGACAGTCCCTGGAGGCTCAAATGGCTGTCCAGGGATGGAGCCCCATGCCAACAATGGTCGGTTGGGCCTTGCAATTTCGAGAGCACTTCTCTCCGAGAAAAAAAGAGGATATGTGTTGTTGAGGGTACCCGGTAATATATTCAGAAAGAGAGACAAAGAAAGACAGAGAAAGACAGAGAAAGACCGAGAAAGACCGAGAGAGAGCAAAAAGAGGCAGAGAGAGAAATAGAGAGAGAGAGAGAGAGAGAAAGAGACAGAGAGCAAAAGAGATGAGAGAACGAGAGACAAAGAGACACAGAGAGACAAAGAGCGAGAAAGAAAGAGCGGAAGAGAGAGAAAGAGAGAAAACGAGAGAAACAGAGACAGAGAGAGACAAAGAGAGAGAGAGAGAGAGAGAGAGAGAGAGCGAAGAAAACGGAGAGACAGAGAGAGAGAGAGGGAAAAACAAAAGAAAGAAAGAAATAAAGAAAGAAAGGAATATAAAAAAGATATAGATAGAGAGAGAGAGAGAGAGCTAGAGAGAGAAATAAAGACAGAAAGAAGGAAATAAAGAAAGCAAGCGATAGGACGGAAGAACATTAAAAAACAAAAAAAAAAACACATAAATGCGGAAATAAATAAAGACATAGCAAAAAGGAAAGAACAAATCAAATAAAATAAAAATAAAGAACAAATGATATCAAGCAAACATCAAATAAAGAAAACACATTTGTTTTTAAAGACAGAACAAGAAAGACCGAGAGAACAACAGAAAGAGATTGGTGAAATCCACCGTTTTTGATTGGGGGGTACCCCTATCTGGACCCATACCCATATCATGAAAGTCAGGCCAGCAGCGCTTGTGAATCCGATAGGTAGTCTGCATCAACGGCAAGGAGTGAGAGAGCTTCTGAGTCGAGCGCTCGGCTAAGCACGTCCAGGGCAGCAAGTTGATGAATGACTAAACCATCCGGGGATCCCAAAGATGGGGGGGGGGTCCTGCTGCTTCCCTATAAACAAACCTAGAAAAAGGTATCCTCAAGAAACACTCACCCACTTATTAGGATTGTAGAGACGACTGGTTGACACTATGACCTGTCTACGGCCATGAGCCACGTGATCTGACCTTATCAAGGGCTGTTCCTAGGTTCACACCTCCAAACTCAGTCAGTGCTCCCCGCTGAGGCTGTGGCCCTTTCCTCTCTGAACCAATTTGCCTGCAAAGTGCTGAGCTCAAGCTGCTTCTCAAACTTGGGCCTTTCTCCCACGCGCAGTATCCATAAGCTATGGGCTTCAGCGTGGCAATACCTCGCCGACCTGCTCGCATATGTGCCATGGTCAAAGCTCCTTATGTAGGCATGGTCCCAACTGAATACAATGCTTGTCTAAGTCCCCTACTGAACAATTCACGGCCCCCCACCCAGTAACCCCAAGCAAAGGTGCTTTCGACCATGGCGCATACGAGCCTTGGTCAACACGTAAATATATATATATATATATTACTATATTATGTCTACAGAGAGAGGGAGAGAGGTTCCAGCTGCCATGAGATTTGATGAGTGCTTCCCATTTCCTCTAGTATTTTAGTTTGTGTGCCCTATGTCATCCTCGGATCGACTCCGTTGCGCCGTTGCCTCGATGGGTAACAGGCGCTCCTGCACCTCCTGCGCCAGACCAAACCTGCACAAATTGGAGATGACGGATTCGGCGGTTTCACTCCAAACGTGCCAGTCTTGGCCCACATCTGGGCAGAACAACATGCGTTCAGATTCAGTGTCATAATTGGGCTACCCTAAAATATACAACCGTTTTGGAGGAGACCCCAGTATTCAGAATGCAAGCATAATTTTGCCACGCTGTGACCACCACCGCGAACAGGAGTTCGTTCATTGCCGAAAGCTAAGCCAGACCTCCAGCTAAGGGCACAAAAAGGGGCATGGCCACATTATTTAAGCAGCTCACCGGGAGCCTGGAATGCAGGACAAATCTTAAAACAAACAGGAACATGGCAAGGAATTTTGACACACAACGCTCCAAACGCGGGCATGTGTCAAACCAGCTCCTTCCCAATGGCGAGCTTCGCGACGCTTTCAGCCCTCATTTCCGGTTTTTGGTTGGTACCGCTTTCGGTCTAAAGAGGGCTACCAAAGGCGAATGGCCAAACGGATGCCTGCCGGGGCCCCTCTGTACCCCGCAGTTTGAGCGACATGGACATGGGAAATAGGGCTAGTCCCCTAATTTTCTGGGGGGAGTTTGGTGAGTCACCCCGGTACTGACCTTACATGGGCTTGTCTCAAAGCAGGGGATGCCCAACATGGTCGGCGTCCTAGCGGTTGCCCTTTTAAACCACTCCACAAAGGAAGGGTGTCATCAAAACAAAATACAAAAACGCGCAAAACACAACTCACATGGACTTCGGCGGTTGCCGCATCGCCTCTGGCTCATTTGCATCCGCAGGGCCTGCTTCCACGTGCTACCTGATGGCTGAATGGCTGAATCGCGGGCTTCACTGCTCTACTTGCCCGCCTCTTGCACACAAAGGGGGCACAATCCCTTCCTACCTTCCAATCATGGAAGTGGACAGGGGCTTCTCGAAAAGCTTCCAAACCCCTTCTGTCAGCTTCCATGTTTGGACGGGTAACTGGGGTTAGGTGTGCAACCATTTCCAAACAGAGGCAGCCAAGTAGCCTACCAAACACATCAAATCCAAGCTGCGGGTTCCAAGTTCGGTGACCCGGACCGAATACATTCTGAGATGGCACTATCGCTCCAAACAACATCAACAAAATCAAGTTGAGCAGTACTCCCTATACAAATAATATCTCTCCCTACAACACATCACTCAGGAGGTTCATCTGATTGTGGTGCAACATCTGTTGCTTCCAGCAGATGCCAGGAAATGTTCCGGGACTCTTGAGGCTCGAAAAAATATGCCGAATGCCACATGCCAACGTGTTGACCTTCCACTCGAAAAGACCCACGGACGGGACGTCCGTCCGACTTGGCGGGTCCGGCCATCGGGCACTGTGATGGCGATGCCCTGCTTGGCCCATGCCATCCTGAAGCCACGTGCTTTTTGAGTTGGTACCCTTTTGGATTGAAAAAGGAAACCAAAAGGGAAACAACCCATTTAGGCATTTGTGTCTGTGTCTGTGTTGAAAAGAACATGGAAAACCAGCATTATTATTATTGTGTTGTCCTTTGTGTTCTTATGTTTGCTCTTTTTGCATGACGTGTTTGAGTTATTATCCTGATTGTATGTTTCTTGGTTGTTATTTATTTACTTATTTTTGTTTATTGATGTTTCTTTTCGTTTAAGCGTGTTTTTGTGTTTTTTTTTTTTTTTGGGGGGGGGGGCGGGGTCCATGTATCCCTGCTTTGATGTAAGCACATTTGAAAGGAAACCCATAAAGCACAAAGGAAACTACCATGGAGAAACTGGGTGGTCCTTTCTTAACCATGCTTTCATAAGACAAGGATTGCCTTGTGTAGAATCCAGTTCAGTGACTGAGTGACGGGTTGAGTGATAAATGTCTAATGGTTGAATGACTACGACTTCGAGTATCCATTGTTTAAGCTTTCGTATTTGTCTGTAAGACAAAAAAAAGGCAAACCTGACCAACTGGGGCAGGCCTCTCATAAAGGACACCCAAAACACAACGCAAGAACTGAGACAGCGAGGCACTGGGTTCGTCTTTGACTCACAAACAAACATGTCCGCCGGTCGGGGATCGTCCGCCACTTTCCAGATTTACAAGGTCCGGCGATCGTCAAAAGATCAACCGAACACTTAGGACTTAGGACAAGGTCTGGTTCATCGTGCCCATTGATAGAATATAATATTGATGTGCCAGTGTGTCTCATCAGCTTCTAGCATTAAGTTCTCACTGCAAGTGCTCAAACCAAAAGTGAGATCTGCTTCTGCAAATCCGATGTCCTCTGGTCAGGCATCACGTCCACTGCATTGCGGATGACAAGATCCTGCAGCAACATTGGTGGCTTGGCACAACCGGACCAGCTTGTTCAGAGACAAAGCAAGAGGAGCAGATCAAATTCTGTAGGTTCGCCGTGGCCTTCTTGGTTTTGCGAGTCCAGGACAAATTATATCGCATGTTTCCCCAAGAGGACACGGAAAGTGGCTTCTGTTTTTGTGGGAGATGTGGGTTGTCCCCTCTTCTCTGTCCTCCCCAAACTAAAAGTTGGTAGACTACCAATCATGTTGTCAGTTCACCTGCAACACGCCGTTGCCGCATTGCTGACTTTGAACCACAACGGCTGAGGCCGCAACCTTGTCGTCGGACGACTTTGCAACGACAATCACCACCACCTGAGAGATTGCATTGCATCAAAAAATCACCTGATTCAGGTGCAATCACCATGTGTCCGGATTTGTGCCCACTAAGAACAATGAAAATGTTCCCCATCAAAGCTCATACCTGCATGTTTGAAGCCGGCAACCCGAGCTAGAAACCAGACACCGAAGCATGCTGCCTACGAGAAATCTGTGAATGCTCGGGCCCAAGCACGCTCCACCCGTCGCTCGAGGAATCCGTTCACTTCAAATAGTTGGCTTCTCTTGTCCTGAGCTCGAGCAGGGTGTGGTTGGTGGCAAGGCCAACTCAATTCAGTCAAACTCTGAAATCAATTCAGCCAAAGGAGACAAACTCTGTCAGAAGAGCACGCACTAACTGCATTCCTCCACGAAAATGCTCGCAAATGGTCCCTTTGCCAAAATGAGCTGCCATTTACAAGTGCTCTTGTTGCACGTCTCCAGTGAAGAGGAATTGAACCGCTCTGCTGCAATGGGTGCTTTCTGCTTTGAGGGTACCCTTTTCGGGTTTATGTGTGAAGGGAAACCAAAGAACAACCATCCGTATCAAACTACTGGACCCGCAAGATGGCGGTTTCATTTTGGTTGCTCTTCAGACCAACCCCAAAACCTCACATAGCCATTTGGAGACACACCCGAAGCTTCGGCCATCGCAACGCACCGGCCTCCACAACTTCTCGATGGAAAGTGAAAAGGCTTTTCACCTGCAAAGTTCCAAGCAGCTGAAAAGTCCCCATGCCATGGTCAAAGCTCATATTACCATGTGGTTCCCTTAGTAACTTATTAGGAATCCTCATGTTTCTGCATCCCCACCAACCCGTATCGCGAGGGTTTCTTGACCATGACACCCCTTCCGCCAAAGCGCGGAAGACATTCAAATCATATAAGGATGGCAAAGGCATCCCAAATCGCAAGAGAATTGGGTTTGAGACATCCCCGCCAAAACGGAGGGTTGAACTGACCTTCTGTGTGGTTTCAGCCCTGTTTCGCCACTGGCAACTCGATGAGTGTGCCTTTAGCAAGAACCAAAGAATCAACATATGAACGACATGGGAGGATTCGCGTCCCAGTCGTGGAAATTGAGTAAGACGTCCCAAGTGGACCAACTCCTCTGCCCAAAGCCACGCTTGTTCGCAGTTCAAAGGCTATCCGATCCATCCCAATGAAACTGGATCGCCTCTCGGTGTTTGTCTGAGCGACATTTCGTGGCACGAGGCGAATGTCCGTCAGGGCTGAACCAGCCACAAACAAGTGCAAAGCACGGATGTTTCACCGACCTCAAATTGGTTTGGCCCAGGGGTGCATTCTTTAAACCAACTTTGCCCAAGCCCATAAACACGTTGCCCCTCAAACAGCCCACGACCCACTCCCTCTTCGTCGTGGAACGCACCTCGCCCTTTCCGAGGCGGCTTGTGTCCACATGGTAGCGCTGCAACCTCCAAGGCTGGGGACTTGCGTAGGACCCGTCAGGGAACCCTGTCAAAGGGGCTGCCCAGTGCCCTTGAAAGGCCCTTGTTTTGCGGGGGAGGGGGGAAAGAGAGGGGGGGGGGAGGGGAGGAAAAACAAATCATTGGTGCTGTAGCTCTTGCGCTGTTGCACTCAACCACTCGACCATCAAACCTGGTGAAAACTGATCACCTGAGTCACAATCAAGACCCGGTATTAAAATGGTCGACCCAGAACCATGTAAAGAATTAAGAAGGCGGATATCCGCAGCTGTTTATGGTTGGGATTGTCCCTTACTAACCTTCATCTACCCGGGTTTTGATTGTGGCTCACCTGAGTTCGATGGCATCCAAGTTCCGCACAGGGCGCTAAACTCGTGAATCGTCATGTCATCTCTGACCTGGCTCAAGCAAAGGGCCACCTCCCCCCGCGCCACGTACCCACCCACCCCTCCCCGGACCCCACGTAAAAACGCAGTGGCACGGCTCTTTCTTCAATACTCATGGGCCTCCGAGGGCGGCAGTAGGATATCCATGTAACATGATGTTCGCCAAAGGGTTACCAATCAAACTCATACCCATGTTTCTGACATTTAGTCTTCCCAAATATGATACATGTGTCTGTGTTATCTTCCGCACAGTGCTACGTAGGCTTCTACACAGTGACCTGCAAATGCAGCAGGGTTCGTGTCCCCTTACAATATAACCCTAGGGGCTCCATCAAATTGGGCAAACAAACAAATGATGTTTAAACTTCATTTTGAGAATTGTTTGAAGGACCTCTGTCCAACAAATCGCGACATGGTTCTGGAAAATCACCCTTTTCTGTGATGCAAACATCCATGCCTGTGATATTCCCAAGGGGATAGCCTCGGTACTGTGGATGGACAAAATCTTGCACCCGTCGAAACGAATAACACCCCATGAATACTGCATGGGATAAAACCACATGTTGGATCAACCGATGCAGGATTTCGTCCATCACACGATCATGTCCGGTGCCGTGCAACGCTGGATCCACCTGTGATTCATGCACTAAGATCAAAGCACCAAAAAATCCACAGTACAGAACGTGGCAACCGAAAACTCCGAGTTTTCATTTGAACCTCAGCTGCCGGTCCAACGCGGGCTCTCCGCGCAGCGCCTCCACTTTCTTCGCGCTGCCCTGGCGGTTTGTGTGAGCCCAGGTGCCAAGACTGCTTCACTTGGCCTAACATATACATATATATATATATATAACACAAACAGGTCGTGATGTTAAAACATTGTGGGGTGATGGCTCTCAAAGATTTGGGAAAACGAACTAGCGGGGATACGGGGGAAGCGGGGATGTGCGAGGACTCTCTGTAAAGAAAACCATGTCGAAGTATTACCTGAAACTTATGCCCACACACCCCTGCTTCCCCTGCATCCCTGCTTGTTTGTTTGTCTGAAAGATCCCTTGGGGTGATTAATTTAACCTAAGCTTTGTTTTCAAGGGATCGGTGTTGGGGCGATGGCTCTCAAAGAGTTGGCCGCAATGTGAACTTCGGATTAGCTGCGGCCCAACGTGGGATCGATGTTCGGGGGGGGGGGGTGCACTTTGATCAGCGGGTGCCAACTTCGGATTTCTCTGGGGGGTGGTTCCCCCTATGAGGAAACAAGCTATCTTTGGGGGGTCCTCTCACCGTCCTGCGGAATAGTCCCAAGTTAACAGTAGCCTTTGAACCCCAACTGAGTGGTTTCCGAGAACCACTTTTCTTTGTCACCCACTCATGAGGGTAAACAGCAATCCATGGGGTTAAAGGAAAGCAATCCTTAAGCATTGGACACCGATACCGCCATTCCACCAAGTAACAGCTACGCGCCCAACCTGCGCCCGCCTCGGACTCCTGGGAAACATAGTGGCATGGCCAGTCCGGCTCAGCTGCCTAGCCAAACACCAAATTGGCACAGCAGGGCAGGAAATCGTCCCCTGCAAGAACCCTCCCAAAAAGGGCGCCCGACTGTTTTGGGTTGGTTATATAAAACAAGAAAAGCATTGCGTTGTTGCTGTGGTTTTTGTTTGTAAAAAAATGCTGTTTACTTGTTTCATTATTGTTTTTTGAACAACAAACACAAACACACTGCTTTGAGAAAGCGATGGCGACTTCATTCTCTCCGGCCTCCAGCCCTGGTCCACCCAGCCCGACGGCAGGATCGAGATAGAATACTTCTTCCTGGCGTCAAACTTGGGGCCCCCGCCCCCCCCACGCAAACCCCAACCCCGCCCCAATCTCCAAAACCCTCCTAAAACTGAACCCCAAACCCCTCTGGGAACTGAGAACCCCTTTTTAAAAACGATTGCAAAGGCAAATCAGCCTAAGAAAACCCGCAAGAACTCAGCAGCACCGATGGCATGATCCGAAGTCACGACTTCCCAGCTGACTTCTGACGCGCGTCGTGGCCCGGTCCTGGCTTCCCTGGCTTGCGCCGAGGAACCGAAGCCTCGGCACCAGCGGGGCGCAGGTCCCAGTCGTAGCAACCACATGCGACTTCCGCAAACAAAGCTGGCCAAAACCCCCAAAAACCTGGGGCTTCCGGTAGACGGTGTCTCGAATCAAGGAAAATAAGTGTAGCTTACATAATAGACACATACATATTGACAATGTATGTTTAGATAGATGCATATGTATATATATATATATATATAAATATATACATTTACGATTGAAGATCGGAGACTGAAGATTTCCCAAGAGACTCCCCTGGAATCTTCAATCTTCACTTTCCCAGAAGGTCCAAGTACCTCATGAGGATGGCTTTTGGGAGTACAAAGGGGTCTAAGTACCTCCTTAGAAGGCAATGTTGACCCAGGATTAATAAACCCGCCCCAATATTAGGGGGTGTTCCCTCCAAAAGTGATGAATCCCCACTAAAAGGGGACACCCCCCTATTAATCAACCAGGGGTTCTACTTAGATCAAAGGTTAACATTACTTGGACCCTCTGGGTTTCAATCCACTGATGTAAGTCGTCAATGTCAATTGCAGGCTCAGGACTGCAACACGAAGGGAATGGTTCGGAAGAGCCGCCGCCCTGGAAAAGTACTCAGCGGTCTTTTTGTGTGATGTGGATGGACTAGCCAAAGGGGTGCGAACTATAAAGGGGGGTACGATATATTTATATCATATACGTATACTAATACTTATACAGTTGCACGACTACATACGTAGACATAGATATACATTGGTGTGATATGTGTGTTCCTGTACTGAATTCATAATATGTGTGATGGTGCGAATTCCTTAGGCGGGCCACAGTCATGATTCTCCACCACCAATCACATCTGGTGCCTCGCGCGGATTTTGTCCCGCGCACGGTATCACTTCTTGTGGCTTTCCTTTTGGCTTTCCTTCAAAATGGGCCCAAACCAGGATCTAGGCTCTCGAAGATTGACGAGCCACCCATTCCTCCAGACCAGATGTGGCCTGAGACTCCCGCTGCTCATAGAGTCGGAGCCCTACCTTCGTGTTGCCCCGCAGGTGTACGCACCTTGTGCACTGCAGCTGGAGGTGAAATACAGGAGCTGGAAAATACAAACCTTTGCGCGCAACAACGGTTCTTGAAAAATACAACCTTTGTACAAAGCACCTTAGTGGAAAAATGCAGGGTCTGAAATTCAGCCTCGGTGCTTTTGAAGGAGGGTCGGGTCATTTGTAGCCAACACAAATCCCTTTTGGTTCCCTAGCGTTGTTGAAGAATTGAGGGTCCGGAATGAAACAAACACACGTCCCCTTTCGGTTTTCCCTTGGGAAAGCCCAACAACGTGGATGCTATGGCCAAGGAACGTCCCCCGGAACCTCCCCAAACCCACCAGGAACCTGCCCCAACACTCCCCCATCAAATTGGCCAACATAGGCTCCTTTTGGGGGAAACTAAAAATTGTGATGGCCATTAGTCAGAGTATTGGACCTACGAACTCCGTGTCGCTCTGAGCTACGAAGAAGCTTACATGGTTTGGTATGCTTCAAGGGAACAAGGAGTAAACAGGGGTTCACCAGGATCTACCCAGTGAGTCTACCCTCTTTTCAACAATCATGGAAGTGGACCAGGGATTTTCTTCAAAGGAGGGCAGTCTTCCAAACCCCCGTCAGCTTCCACATTTGGAGGGAGGGTACTAGCTTAGCAACTTCCCAAGCCATCTTGGCAAAGCCGAAAACCGCTGGCGAGTCCGTGGGCCTTTTCTGTTCCGCTGCCGCTGGATGGCACACCGGTGGCAACTGGGTAGAGACCGTTTTCAAGCGAAGAACAACGTGGAGACTCATGGATCTTACAAGCAACATGGCAACTGCATGAGTAGATGTGAGTGAATCCGCATCGTCAATCATAGCTTGGTAAGACTATATATGCCATATCCTTCTATAAGTAAGTACAAATGCTTGGGCGCTCGAAAGCTGGTCACATTCGCGCGGCGCTGGAAGGCTCTCACCAGTGGGGTACCAGTCGCCACACAAGGCTGCCCCACATTTCCTGGGCCAGGTGCGAAACGCGGTGTTCGGAGACCGCGTTGCGAGCCCAAAGCGCAACGCGACAAGACCAGCGCACCACAGGAGCCGATGAAGACCATATCTGATTCTCTCTGAATGGAACCTGCGTCACAAGGTTCCAGGCTCCAGTTGGCGTACGGCTAGGCCCAGGGGTTCCAACCGGCAAAGCATCGTGAAAGGCTACCAAAATCGAAGGTTTGGGCCAAATCCATGTCCAATTGACCCGTAACTACTCTGGGTCATGGTCATGGCGACGTACCTAATCAACAATCCTTATGGTTGTGTAAACTCGCGAGTGAAGGATTCATGACCACCCCTAGTAACCCCAAGAAAAGGTGTCTGTTGACCAACGCGTTCGCACGCACATGCGCGCATGCGCATGGAAAGCACGCACGCACACACAGGGGAAAGAAGGAAAAGGAGGTCAATGTAGTGGCAGGAGGCAATGCGTTCCTGAGAGCATCCTGAAACGGCCTTGTAGTGTCAACAATTGGTTTTTCAGAGCAAAGTTTGTAGCAATTGCGCCTAAACGCAAACAGCGCCAAAAAGTTCAAATGGGACAGCCAGCTGCGTCGAACGCGCACCCTGGCTCGGCGTCTTCGGTGGCCAAAGACCCCTGAGCCGGGCTCTGGCCTGCGTGACAGGACAAACCTATCAGCCACACATGGGGAGCCTTCCATCAACTGCTGCCAAACTTCCTGCCGCAGTTGGCCCATCTTTGTGACCTGGCAAAGCCAAGGGTCTGTTTTTTGTGATTTTTTTTCGGCAAAATCCACAAGGGCCCGGTCTTTTATTTGGGGGTCCCCTTTTTCGGGTTACGTTGTAGTTCAGAGGAACACCACAAGAACATGACTAATTTTGGGTTTGCTGACCCCCCCCCCCCATCCCCCATTTTGCAACAGGTCTGGACTTGCAAGTGACCCTGCAATCAGTTGGGTATGTCTCTTTTTGAGGGTGCCTGGCTTTAAAGGAAAACTGAAAAGGAAAACCACAAAAAAGGGGGGTCTTCACAGGGAATGGTTCAGGCCAGGGATATCACCTGGGACTACCTACGCTCAAGAAGTCTGGACTTGGCAAAATACTCAGCCCCGTTTTGCTCCGAGAAAACGGGAGTCCTTGCGTTCCTTTTTGAGCAAGTCTCCCAAAAGTACGGCGAGCCCTGCGGGTGGCTTTGAATGGACATCAAGAGTTGCAACTTCTCCCCCGGGCGCATGGACTCTCCCCTAGAGGCCCTAGACCTTTCACTGGCAATGATTTGGCCGTGGGTCAAAAATAAGTGCCCAAAATGGGACCCTGGCAAATGGAAAGTAGACTAAAACCTGTGGTGTTGTGGTGGTTTAATTTTGACCCATACCCATTTCGGGGGGTTCGACGCGCCTCGACTTGGTGTTTCAGCTGCATGGCCAGCCACCCAGTGGTCACCACCCGGCCATTCATGACGTAGATGCAGTCGCCTCAGTCCGGCAACGCGACTCAGCGACTCAGTGGCTCAGCTCTGCTCGGAAGCTTCCGAGCAAACCGGCCGACATGCCACCTGGAATTGGATGGCCGCAACAGGTAGAGGAAGGAGCCCAACACCCAGCTTTTCTGAGGGAACCAACACCCAGCTTTTCTGAGGGAACAAATGAACGGCCATCTACATCCTGAAGTTGGAGCCACCCCTTGCACCCTTTGGTAGGCATCAACAAAATCGGATTCGTGCAACCGCGAGCCACTTTTGAGCCGCCCGCCACTTTTGGTTAGGTGTTCCCATACACTCTCTCTTCACACTCACCACTTTTGAGGGTTGGGAACCAATCCAATTCCAACCCTGAAACTCCCCGCCCTTTGGGGCTCAAAATGTGTCTCCCCCTTACCGGCCAAAGCTTTCGTCTCAGGTCGCCACTGGGGCCTAAGGAGCACAAGGTCATCTCTTGCAGCGAGGTGGCCATCTCCTGCGCTCTGAGTTTGTGTCTTGTGAGTTTTTGGAGGCTATCCGTTTGTCAGCTTGGGTGCCAAAAATATGCCACGTGGATAACTGTAATAACCCACCATATTCTGAATATATGTTTTTGTCTTCTTCTTTCTTTCTTTTTTTTTTTTTGGGGGGGGGGGGTTGGGGGGGCACCTTGTACTTTCGACACAAAGCCCTGTGGGGGGCTCAATTTCATAGGGGTTTGGGAAATGAGCTTATCTAGGCAAACATAAGGCGTGGTTCAGGGGTTCCCTCCTTGCTCTTTATCCAGAAAGAAAAAACGGAGTTGCGGTCTCCCAGGGCTATGAAACCCTTCGGTCAGTGCCCTCCGGGCTACCCTGTGAAAGTAGATGGCACAAATCCCCAGGGGTAAGTAGAGGATGTTTAAACCCTCTAAGAATTTTGATTCACCCAACACGACGTTTTGCCCTGTTTGCCAAACGGAAGCCCCTGCAGTTTGCCACACAACCACCTTTTTTTTTCTCAGCTCGAGGGGTGGCTTTCTGTTGCTTTCCATCTCATCCCAAGGTACAGGGCACGGACCCCAGGTTCTGGCTTGGTCGACGGGAAGCAATCAAATTCACGGGCCCAGTTTGAAAGGAGCTTCTGAGTTCTTGGGGAAGAAGTGCGACCTGTCATCAATTCAAGCGACCCTGGCCGTGGCGGGACAACACATCCAAATCCAAAGGCAGACACGGCATGCGTCTTGCAGGGACGATCAAAGTTCGCTGAACAAATGGGGGGGGGGGGAAGGGCAGCTTCATCAACCTCCACTCCACACGAGACCGTCTCTGATCTCCTGCAGCTCTGTGGCGGGCACTTCACCCCCCGAGCTCAGGCGCCGCAAATTCGCGACGACCTGAGAGGGGCGACTTCTGGATGGATTGCTGCAATTGGTTTCTACAATTGGATCCCCAAGTAAGCCAGCCGGAAGTGTTCGGAAAGAACCTTCTGACCCAAAGTGCCCGGTGTTGAAATCGGAGGACCTTAGCACTGGGCTTGAGCACTGGGCGCTTGACACTGGAACGTTGGACACTGGGCAGGGTCCGAGCTTGTCTCGACTTCGGCGAATATGCGCGAGCCATGCGATCCAATGGACTTGAAGGAGCCCAAAAGGGCAAAAGGGCAAGACGGTGAGTCAGCGCAAACCCAACTGTTCAGTGTTTTTGTTGGTGGTTCGGGGCCGATACACTACTTGCACGCCTACGCGGAAGCCTCCGCAAAGGTGCCTACGCGAGCACAAGTCAGCTTCCGGGTGCCTACGCGGACGCCTACGCGGGCAGATGTTCAGTTCAATTGTTGAAGTGCAGTTTGGCAGCTCCAACTGGAAAATCACAACTTTTCAATACAAGATCAGTTTTGGTAGCTCCAGCTCTAAGATCACCTGTGCAATACAATCACATCTGTTGAAGGATCTGGCTGCTCGAAAATGGTCTACGTACTTTAAAATGCCTTGAAAACCCACGCGAATGTCTACGCGGGGCCTACGCGAAGACTGCAGAACAAACGGAAGGAAGGCAAAGAAAGCGAACTCCGTTCTACTTGGCAAACAGCATTGAGCAATGATTTGTTCAAACGTCTACGCGAAAAGCCTACGCGAGGCTTGACACAACAGCCTACGCGCAGAAGCCTACGCGAGCCCTACGCCCCCAACCAGGATTGCCTCCGCAAAGTACATGCAGTTCCCTTTTTGTATAAACCCTTTCATTTGAATAAAAACTGCTGCTCAACTCAGCTCCCTGCCACTTCTGCCATTGCCTGCAAGCCGCATGCTGCACAAGCTGACACTGCTCGGATGAGACCCTCACTTCCCGAGTTGACGGGCCAAACAAGGCTTCAACTTCTTCGTTGCCACTAAAATGGTCCAAACCCAAAAAGTGACCAAAGCCCAAGGAACTCAGGGAGTCAGGGATCAATCGGAAAGCAGTGCCGACCTGTTCACCCAGCTGACCCAAAGACATGACAAACCGCCGTCCCAGCTGGCTTCGGCTGAAGGCGCCATCCAATGAAACCATAGCTCTTTTGGGCTCCGAGACCATTAGGGGCATTGCTCGGCCATGAATATACTTGGGCAACCTTTTTTTCTTCAAAAAACTGTCCTTGAGTCCGCCAAGGGGGCAAGGCTCAAAAAAAAGGTACAAGGTTGTTGTTGTTTTTCAAGGCCAAGCCACTATAAATTGAAGCATCAAACCCATATAGAACTCCCTGCTACATTGGCCACGCTCAACTCAGCATCTTGTTCAATGCAAACCATATCGGATTCGGGCAGACGGTTCTCACCTGACTGTCAAAATGTCCACTGCAGATAGGGAAAACTTAGGTGTGCGCAATCGAACCTGAAATGAAAGGCGTTTCACTTGTAGACGTGAACAAAGCCCCGAATATTTTTGGAGATAGACATAGCTTCTGCTGCCCCTTTTTGCACCCCAGGTTTTGCAGTCCACCAGGTCCAACCGAAAAGGGCCTCCTTGCAAGAGAGCATTGGGCAGGGGGAAGCTGAAGGAAAAAGCATGGGAACCAACTTAGGGTGGTGCAAACAAGGGATCCCTCTTCAACTCATCAGAAGGTGCCTGCCAAGCAAACAACAAACACAATTACGAGCTGTTTCAGGGTGGTCCCCTGCCTCTGCCGGGTAGATATCCTTGGTGAATTGCATCTCCGTGCCCTGGACGCTGACACAATCGCCTATAGCTGCCGTGCTGCCAAAAATACAATGAGCCAAACCTTTCACTCCCTCCGGGAAAGCCACTTGTGATTCTCTGAATCAGCTCTAGAAAGTACTATTTGAGTACGTGGGTTCGAAAGGCTTGCGGTGCGCAAGAGGGCTACTTGTATATATATATATATATATATATTATAATAGATTATCATTGCAAAGTGGGTCGGCAACAGGAGAGCCAGGGAATATGAACAAGTGGTATGCAGTGTGAGTGAGATGCCCATCCCCAAGCGACATGGCCTTGTTAGGGCAAATCGGGGACCCCCAAAATGGATGGTTTGCTTTGCTTCCCTTCAGCCCTCCCCCGTTCAAAGCACACCGCCAATATGAGCTCAACCCTTGACAAAGTTTCATTGGGAACCTGGGGTGGGCCGTGGCAATGGGCCGTGGCAATGGGTCGTGCTGAAATGGCGCTCTCCTCCAGCACCTTTCGAGGCTGTCAACTTGCCCCCCCCCCCCAAACAAAAGAAATTATGATACATATATATATATATATATATTGTTTTGTTTTAAAAGAAAAAACACTAAAGAAACAAACATAATGACGCCTGGGGTACCATTTGATAGCCCTTGGAAGGTGCTGCTGCTATGCTTAACTTGCTCGCCACTGAATTGCTAGGGGAATGACGACCGTGCCGATGGGCAAATGAACCTACACATCGCACACAAAATACCAAAGGCTCACGCCACTGTCATGGGCGAAGGTCCTCAAAACCGTGCGCGAAGCCCATTCATCAAGGAACCCCAAAGAGGACCACAAAAACCCGTGGCTTCGGTAGGCAAAAACAACAACTATCTGCGGACCCCTGGCTGCGTAGTTTTGCTGACCCCGCCTAGGGCGAAAATTCGGCCGCCCGCGCACGGCGGTCCTGCACGTGGCGACGTGAAGGCTTCCCTCCAAATGGTTGGCTTCGGCCCTTGGATTCGATTAAGAAGAAAAAGACTGGGTCACAACCAAGTCTACAAGTGGGGCAAGAGGGGTTGCTTGCAACCATGGGATGTGGACATCTCACAAAGCTCCTCATGGTATTCTCAGAGTGAGACTTCTGAGGTGCGGAGGCAGAACCCCATTTGCCCCGCGGAAAAGTCACCCAATTTTTGCCCTTGACGAATCAAAACATGTCGAAACCCTGGATTCTTCGCGTGGGGGCAACCCGAGCACCTGGAATTTTCTGCGCCTTGCAGCTCTTTCTCACCCATCTGAATGCACTGCATTGCTCGGTTGGTACCTTGGCAAAGCGCATATCGGAGTTCTCTGGCCCTTCAACAAGCGTACGAGCAACTTATCTGGGGCTTGTCCTAGGCTTATCCAGGCATAGCCCCCCCCTCCACTCCCGCGAATAACATATCATGGCCGTTCAGTTTCCCTGCAAGGCTGGGAAATGATGATGATCGGACTCCCCTCCGAAAAGCCCGAAAGTGGAGGGTATACTGGTTTCTTGGTACCGGTCGGTGACTTGGCCTCAGGCATCCGTCCCTATCTTTGACAGGAGATTTATAGACTTGAGGACTCCCTTTTGTTCGGTGTTCTAGGAATAAAGGAATCACAAAGCCGTGAGGATTCTAGCAGGGAATGGCAGGACCAGTGCAAAGGTTTAAGTGTTTGCTTCCCGCATCTGGATGGGTCCGTAACGCAGCCGGGAGAAGCAAGCCGCTTTGATAGGGCTGTTCGAGGCATGCAATAAAATAAGACCTGGGGTCTGAGCCCCGAACATGCAGGAGAAGTACCACATTTTGACAAAAAAGCGAATGCAAGTAGTGGCCTGAAGCACGCAGATGCTCAATTGTAGTAGGTATGCATGTTGGGGCTGCAAACGTCGGAATGCGCGGCATAGGCCGGACAGTGAAACAGGTGATACGTCTCTGGTCAGAAAACGGCTCAAAATATCGTACATGGACACGAGCAGAGCGACACAAACAGATGGTAGCCCAAGACCGCCTCGACTTCCCTGGCTCCATTGCATCCAACGACCAAGTGAAGCTTGCTGCAGCCCAGAAGGTGAAGGAAAATCATCGTGAGGCCCATGTCGGGTCAGGCTCGTGGCTCAAGTTGTAGGCATGGGCAGCAACTTCACACATCTCCAAAGCAGTGCACAGGAGACACATGAGAGGCATTGAATCAACAATCCAACCATCAAGTCCGCCACCAGAGGGGTAGAGAGTCTGCAATCCGTCGCAAAAGGGTTGAAGGACCGCGAGGAGGGTCATGGAAATGCACGGGGCCATCAGCACAAGACCTAGATCTTCGAAGGCAACTTTGTCCCTTTGTGCAAAAAGGCGCCTTTTTGCTGCATTTCGACGTTTTTTGTCACGTGTCGGCGTTTTTGGTGTAGCGCGCTTCCTTCCCCGAAAGCGTGATGGCAAATCGGCGGAATTCGGCGAGCAATCGGCAGAATTCGGCAGGACATCGGCGGAATTTGGTGTTCATGAATTTTAGTTTGCGGCTTTGGTCTTTGCATTTCCGCTTTTTGTTTTCTCCTCGAACTGTGTTTTTTTTGCGGCTTCAGCGGAAAGAAAAATCTCATTGGCGAGCCTCCGAAAACGCAGAAGGCCGTGGTGACGGGCACGCAAAAAAACAACGTCAAGGATCTGGGACTGGTGAGGGACCCTGCAGGGCGAACAGGCAGATGCGATAACTGAGGGGCCGTGGCGGCAAGGTCATGGCACATGCGCAGCACACCCTGGTTGGTCGAGAAGCCGAAAGGTCAAAAGGTTGAAGGTCAAACGGGGCATTCAACCAAGACTCCAGCAATGTTTCGGAAAACACCCAAAAACCTAGAAGTTCATGTCCCATCCTTGTCAACTATCCCTCGTTTCGAGAAAAACAAAAAAGAAAAAACGGCGTTCCTCCCGGATTCTGGCACGAGATGGCGCGAAGCATCGAAGGCTTGTCGGAAGCAAAATGGTGCAGAGCATCGAAGGCTTGTCGGAAGCCTTCGAAAATATCCCCAGAACTAATTGAAAGATTGAAAAGATTGATGGGTTAACGCCAAGAAAGAACCCGAACAAGAATCAATCAACCATTTTGGGAAACTGGAAGGAAGGACACCATCGGGGAAACTGGAAGGAAACCATCCATGTGGGAGCCAGAACCTAGCAAACCGCATCTGAGCTCCCCGCACACCTGGCCGCGCTGGTCCAGGCAGCCCAGCGATTCGGCCAGTCGGCAGGCAAAGCGCAGGCCAGCACATGGCAGAACCCGAGCCTGAGGCAAAAGGGCAGAAGCATAGGTCTTCTGTTGGTAAAATTTGGATGGCCCTGGATGCAATGGAAAAAAGCCAAGCATGGACGGCCCTGGATGGAACAAAACCAAACATGAATGGTTTTGGATGCAACTAAAACCAGACAAAACCAGAGCCATCTATTTTTTAGCACACGAAATGGGAACAAGTGCCCCATGGACAATCTGACACTTTTCTGAAATGTCGAGGCTAATTACCGCTGACACTTCTCTGACATGTCGAGCCTACCCCAACCTTCCCTTTAAATGTCACCGGAACATTGCCTTTGAATGTTATGAGTTTTCTTTCAGCAGCGGGGTTCAAACTTTGGGAAGCATCCAATATAACTAATAACTCAGAATCCTTTTTCTATCGGAGGTTCCTACATGGTTGGAATCACATTGCTTCCGCGAATACTGGTGGGGGTTCAGCCATGTTCTAACATCAAGGACAGAAGCTGCCAAGCTGTCCTTTGTAGTTTTAATATATTGACTCCCACCAGAAGGTTCATTCACTATGGAAACTCTGTGTATGTGTTTCATCACTTCAAAGGCGCATTCAGAAATGCAGAAGGGGTTGGTTCATGCATCACTTGGAAGGTGATTCAGACAGGCAGAAAGGGTTCCTCCGTTTGCACTCAGAACTGGTCCATGGCGCAACTCGTGTGGACAACTTAGCTTAGTGCCACTTTTCTGTGATTGATTGCGAGCGCCCCTTCAAGAAATCAAAGGTCATGGCGACGGCGCCTGGCCTTCTTTGGTATCGCACAAACAAAATAGTTTCCACAACCATGGTCTCCAAAGTGCTCTTCATATTTGGGGTTGACAAAGATTCAAAGAGAATGATACCCTCAAAGGAACACACACACACACACACAAACGCACAGTTGAAATGGGGTTGTCGTTTTTGGAGGGTGCCCTTTTCTTGGCTTGAGTTTTCAGGGAAGTCGCAGGAAAAAAACACTTCTTGGGCATCCCCCTATTTTGACACATACCTAAACAAGGAACTCCCCAAATGGATGTTGTTGGTTAGTTGCCCTTTAACACAAACTCCCAAACTGCTGAGCAGAGTTCTCACCTTGCTGTACAACTTCACAAACGGATGCCTCCTCTTTACCTGGGGGCTGTCAAAGAATGTGTGCCATGTGATTCCCTTAAAGAAGGGGCACTATTTTGAAAATCGTGGGCACACCAAAGATTGCACGTTCGGATTATGTATGCTTCATGTTTAGTCAACCCTAAGATATGAAAAACTTATTCTGGCCGGGGGTGGACCTTAATAGGTTCTAATCAATGGGTCAAATGTTGCACACCTAATTGTCCTTCGGTGCAGCGATCGGAAACCCGCTGAGCACCTGTAAATCGGGCCTGATAATCCTGCTGGTGCTCACTAGGGAATGAGGGAATGGACCCTTATAAACCATCCAACTGGTGGTTTCCTTTAAGGAAATCCCCAGGTTCATTCCCACATTCCCTAACTATCGCACCAGCAAGTAAATTGACCTTCCAGGGCGAAGTTCAACTCTGTGCCTCGCCGGCTACGTCCAGCGCAGCAAGCAGGGCCGTCTCCTCCTGAGGAAGCTCCTGCCGGATGTGTTTTCACCGGCGAAACGAGCTGGACACCTTGGACGGTTTGAAAGGAAACCAGCACCAACCATCTGGCATTCACAAGCAAACAAGCAAGCAAACAAGCTAGCAAGCTAGCAAGCTGGCAAGCCAGCAAGCAAACAAAGACTCAAAACAAACAAATACGAAGAAACAAACAAACAAACAAATAAACAATCAAACAAACATAAACGGAACAGAACAGAACACAACAAACAAGCAAACAACACCACACACACACAAATAAACAAACACACAAACATACGAACAAACGAACACACAATCCGTCCGTCAGTCAGTCAGTCAGTCAGCCAGCCAGCCAATCAATCAATCAATGAATCAAGCAGTCAGTCAGTCAGTCAGTCAATCAATCAATCAATCAAACAGTCAGTCAGGCAGTCAATCAATGAATCAATCAATCAATCAATCAATCAATCAATCAAGCCAGCAATCAAACAACCAACCAACCAACCAACCAACCAAGCAACAACGCTAGAAAAAGGCAAGCAAGCAAGCAAGTAAGTAAGAAATTAAAAAAGGCAAGGCACGGGACGGCAAAGCAACAATAGGCAAACAAACATGGGGGAACACTCTCTCTCTCTCTCTCTCTCTCCCTGTCACACACGCACGCACTCACGCACACACGCACAGGCGAGGTGTGCTAAATTCCCATACCATGGAAAATACACAAAACGCACATGCCATATGAGATTTGGATTGGAGCCGTCCCCAATGAATCCTCAAAAGTTGGCTGCTCACACATCTCAATGTCTAGTTTTCACCCCCGTGCAAGCAAGCATGCGTAGAAACAACCCACATTTAACACGCTAAAAGATCGAAAGGGGTCAAAAGATTAAACGATTACAAAGTCACAAAGTCACAACGACCGGAGAAGATGAAAAAGATAAAAGGATGCTTCAAGAAATATAAATACGAAGATTAAAAGGATAAAACAATAAAACAATAAAATGATTAAACATGACAAACTGAATCCAAAGATCAAGGTTGACAAGTTAAGTGAAAGGTAAGATGCGTCAAGATCCATCAGAGGGTTGCATTGATTTCTCTCCCGTCCTGGCCAAGCCGCAGCTCGACGCCGTGATCTTGCAACCAGCTTTGGGCGTACTCCTTGGGTGGAAAACGAACAGGCACGTCAAAGGCAAGCCAAAGGAAAGCCAAAGAGAAGCCAAAGAGAAGCCAAAGAGATGCCAAAGAGGAGCCAAAGAGAAGCCAAAGGGAAAGGTCGAACTCCTGCTTTACCGGTTGCTACTTGGATAGATGCCAGCTTCGGAATGAGGTTTCAGTACACGTCCACTCGCGCTTAAAGGCGACACCAATGAAGGAGATACTTGAGACAAACCCAATGTCCAATCCAAGCAAGAAATGGAGGGCCGTGGTCAGGTGACAATTTGGAGGTGCCCGCAAAGAGTAGAAGAAACTCAAAGCAAGGGTCCCCTGCCAATCAAGTACGTGTTCATGAATATGCTTGAAGCTGGTCTCCAACTCCGCTTTTTGGCACCTTACCGAATTTAGACCGCGCTAATCTTGAAACCCAACAAGTGTGAACTCAAGTGACTAAAGTTCATGAGATCACGAAGAGCTCTTTGAACCCAACAAAGGCACAAGATGGCCCACAAATCTGCGCGTCCTGCGCATCTTTCGGCAGGTTGGGGAGGACACTTTGGGCGCGGTCCGCCAGCACCAGCCGCAGCTCCGGAAAATGGTGCGCCTCGATTTCGGTTTCTGCGGCTCTCGAAGTCACGCCTGGGTTGTTGCCTGATGACTGAGTTTGGCCGAATTTCACGGGAAACCAACCTGCCAAAAACAGAACAGTGCCAATACAGCCAATGGATTTATTGTGCCCAAATGCCGAAACCGAGTGGGATTATTGGCATGCACTTAAGACTTGAGGGTTGCTCAAAAAGAAAGGCTTCCTACTTGAGATGCCCCGTTTCCTGAAGGGTTGATTTCACAAGTCCAACGCTCCCTCCAATCCGGCCAGCTGAGATCAACCGCTGGTCAATGCGCAGGATTTGTTGGCGTGCTCTCGGACATGGTCGAAACAGTATCAGATTGGGAGTTCCTGCATTGCTTAAGATTCTGCACGGCGATGGCTGCGCTTTTCAACGTTCAATATGCCAGCCGCCAAAAAGCACAATCTGCCATGCCGGTGTGCCTCCCCAAGTTGGGGATTATGCGCCGGTCAACCAACAAAGGTATCATTTCGGCCGAACTTCAGCCGGATGGCTCCCCAACACCCGGGCAGAAAAAAAAGAGCCCATGTTCCAGCGGATATTCCATTTTGTTCAATAATTCCAACACCTGAATTAAAAAGATCCAGGTAAGAGAGCATCATGGCTTTCGCTTGTTTGGAAGGATTGGGGGTGGAACCGCTCATTTTATCCCATCAAATAGGCAGCACGGATGCCACTTTCTGTGTTTTCCTTGACGCTTGGGGCCGCGATGGCTCTAGGTGCACCTAAAAGGGGCCTCCGACTAATTTCGCAGCAATCAGCAGATTGGCCGATTTCCCCCCAGGCAAGAGTTAAACGGATATCCCAAAGAAAGACAGAACCCCAAGCCCTTCACCTAATTTACTAAACCTACAAATCTGTGTTGGTCTTTGACTTTCGGAAACAGGCGTTCCCCAAACCGTAAAATGCTCAAAGTGTGGAAAATGGGCGCGCCACGAAGCAGCCAGGAACAAACAACCTCCAAACCCTTCATATCAAAAAAATAATAATCACCCTTCCCTTCTATGCCTTACCATAACCCAACCTACTAAGTTAAGTGCCCAACCCACTTCCAACGGCTATACGTGCTCGACAGAAGGTGCTGGTTTTGGAGGAGGCGCCAGCTCCGCTGCCAGCTCCACTCCCACCAGGCCGGCACCGAGCAGCACCGCGCACCTCGACCAAATCGAGGCTCAAAAACCGAGTGCCCCTTTCAGGGAGAAGTCACCTTGCCCAGAGACCATGAGAACACATATTGTTTGCTGGCTGAGTTGAAACAAGGTTCGTAGGTTCGGTCGTTCCCCTCCCATCTACCCGAATCAGCTTTGAGGACGTGGCTCAAGCGAAACAACTTGCTGGTGCTCAGTAGGAAATGAATGACCGAGTCCGGGTGTGGGGAATGAACCGCTGGATTCCCAAGCACACCAAATCAACCGCGGGATGGTTTCAATCTTGGGCATTCCATGTCTCCTTCCCTGCCTATCGCACCACTTCCAGTTGCTTTTTCGCCCCTGAAAAAAATCGGCATCTTTCCGGTAGTGAAATCGATTCGCTGAAAAAAATAAAAAGAAAAACGGGGGCAATTAAAAGAACATCTTCGCTTCAACAGATGGAAGCCTACCCCAAAGAATTGTGACAGCCATACCCACTTGGGCAAATAAGCCGGCCCTCGCTTCCTGTTTCAGTTCATTTCAAAGCTTTTACCCCTACCTTATTTGCCCCTACCTTCCAGCCCCTACCTTATTTGCCCCTGCCCCTTATTGTCCAGGAGCTTCGTTTGGTGAAACCTTTGACCACCGGCCACCGGCGAAGCGCGCGAAGCGCGCGAAGCGCGCGCCTGAGCTGCGCGAGGCCCTGCCGCAGCTGCGCCAAGGCCTCCTGCCGCTTCTCCAGGCTCAGCTCGGGGCTCTCGGCCCCTGGGGGGAAAAGACACTTCGAGGGAAACCACATTGGAAATCAAAGTGGACAACCCGCTCTTTAAAGGGAAACTATGTTTTATATATTAATATATATATATATATATATGTATGTATAGTATGTATATATATATATACAGTAATATGTATATATATATATATAAAAATATACAGTAATATATATATATATATATGTATGAACAACCAAAGGGCTGAGACAAGCAATCCAAATCCCAAAAGAAAAGAAAAACAAGTTGCAGCACTTGGAAGGTGATAACTACTTGTCCACCCTGCACAAGCCTCGGACATTTACCCCAGGGTTGCTCCCATACCGAATCCACATGGTTTCAAACTTGGAAGAGAAGCCGAAGGAAACGGGAAGCAATCCTCTACCCTTGGGGATGATCGTTTAGAGGCTCGGAGCTGAGAACTTGGTTTCAAATAGCCCGGCTTGCTGCACCTGATCCATGCTTGGTTCCGGACCGGAGCAGACAAGAGGGGAAAAAGGGCCTGAGATAAAGCTCTTCAAACAGAAAGCAACCACATGAGCAAGACTTCTCAGGGGTCGCGTGCGCGGTTCCTTTCATAGGGCAGATGGCAATATCCAGCTCAACTACTCATGGGTCGCCTGCGCCGACCACCGAATGTACCCAGAAAACTATGTCTCTTGACCAGCGCACATGAATCGATGAGAAGGCTGATGGATGGTGGCGCGAAACCGACGGAGTTGCGCCTGTCACCTTCCAAAGGCTAGTCCCAGCGTACTGGGAGCCTGGCACGCGCAAGGTGATTCACCACACTGCGCTGCTCTCAAACTGCCAGGTGCAATTAAGTCCGTATCAAAATAGCATGCCCAACAGTAAGTACAGGATCGAAACGGCGGACGCGCCTGTTTGTGGTTGGGACCATCCCCTACTAACCTGCACTTGCCCAGGTTTGACTCTGACTCAACAGCGAGACATCCCATCGCCAGCCGCGTGGTCCACGCACTGGAAGTACCCCGTAGTGGTGCTAACTTGGTATTGGGAGACCAGGGCTTGGACAAAATCACAGTAATATGCAGTGCATTTGTTCAATGAGGGGGGTTAGCTGCAAACTTAAGCACAACCAAAAACACATACACGCACAAACAGGTACACAAGCACAATCACACGGATTGTCACAAGCACACACTCACACTCACACTCACACTCTCACACTCACACTCACACACTCACACACACACATCAACACACATCGAATATATATATTTATATATATACACATTAAGCATATGCTATACATGTAAATTAAATCAGGCCAGTTTTCCCCATTTCGGTTCTCACAAAAATGCCACATGGGGGACCCGACTTATGAGGACCCACGCGAATACCCTGGGCCCCGTTGCCATTTCACACTTGTGTGTGCGGGTGTGATCGTGTCTGTGCTTTGTGTTGTGCTGTTTTTTGTGTCTGTGTCCGTTTTTCACTGCCGCGCGCAGGTCTGTCAGTCCATGAACCCAGAGCCCCAGTGGCATTAAAAATGGGGGGGCTTTGTGTGACACGGAATTTTAAAGGGAATACAAACCTCCAGAAGAAAAAAAGGAGAAGAAAAAAGCGCAAGACTGGCAATCTGAACAGCAAGAGCCGGCGCACCGACTGCAACCACTGCGAAGTCGAACTCCACGGCCACAGTGCTTTCGCCTTATAAGGTGAAGGGCAACCCATTGTTTTAGCGCCAACTTGTTTTGGCCCCACCAACTAGAAGAGGCCAACAAAAAGTGGCTTGTGGTTTTCGGATGGAAAACCAGGGTGCCCAGCGAGCGCGAAACAAATGCAGAGAACACGCGCTTCGGCCAATCCTATCACATAAGCAGGCTCGCACAAGTGGCGGCCCGTGTGCCAAGCCATTCCAACAATAAACACCGAGCACGACTCCCCTGGAATTGGACCCTTACTCGACAGCATAATTGATCCGCGCAGCCAGGAATCTCCACTTGCGCGCTGCTCTCCCCAAGCTGAGTGACCTGGCGCGCTCAAGTAGGATCGAAACAGCTGACTGTGATTGTGGCACGATGTTGCGCGAGCATGGGCCGCCGTGTCTGCTTTTTATCCAAGAGACTGCGAGCAGTGTTACAATTCTTAAAACTGGCAAAAGTAAAGACCGGCACATTAAATAGGTACCAGTATCTCTTGGAAGGTGGGAAAGGCTACTCCCCTTTGGGAGAGCTTCTCACCTGAGTCACAGTCAAAACCTGGGTAGATGAAGGATGGGTGCCAATTTTTTGGACTCTTTACATGGCTCACCTCGGAAAAGTGACGGCTCGGTCTGGGTTCCGCTCCGCATGCGGCGTGTCCAGGCGTTCGTCGTTCATCAGCAGCCGCCGCAGCAGAAACTCGCGGCCTCCCTGGCTGAAGCTGCGCTGGGGCGCGTCGCCGTCCTGGGCGCGGGGGGCAAACACCCAAACGCCAGGGGACTCTCCAACTTCCCACACCCACTCACCCAACCCACCCAACCCACCCAACAAACCATGCGCTGCTCTCTAAAACCAGGGAATTGGGTGAAAGCAAATGGCACAAGTTTTTGTTGAAGGTGGGCAGAGAAAGGCGAAGGAAGTGCGCCATTTAGTTGCCACATGCAACAGCCTGGGCTATTCAAAAGGGACTTCATGAGACCCGTTACCCCTAAACCAGCTAGGCATGACTCCAGAAAGACTGTGTTTAATCAGGGGGGGCTGTCAGAGATGGATTCCGCTGTGGAATCCTTGCGAGAAGAGCACCGCGGAATGTTGCATGTCTGCCTTGTGGAAATCTGGTTCACTGTTTTGTTTGAAGCTTTCTTGCGGTTTCTGCCAAAAGGGAAGCCAAATGGAAGACTACCCATTTGGGGAACTCCCAAGCGCTCCAGGAAATGTAGCTGGGAGCCTCCCCCTCTCTCTTGAGCCCCGCCTGCCAGTGCAAGGCCCGTGCCTGAAGCTGGTCTTGCACCGTGGCGGAACTGTCCAAGATCAGGGCGATGAGGATGTTCAGCACTACCAGGTTGGCGCACACGAAGAACAACACGAAGAACACTGCCGCGGAGTCATCCGTGACCGCCATGAACCCATCGGCCACCACAAACCTGGCGGAGAAGTGCCATTTTTGTGGGGGGGTGCACTGCTGGTCTTTCAGCCTGGCCGGAGGATCCGCATCTTGGCCTGACTTCGGCTTGCTGTTCCGAAGAAACCAACAGCTTTGGGCCGGTGAGTGGATCCGCCCAAAAAAAGGCCTGGCCCAAGACCGCTGCTGTGGATGTTTCCAAGCGCAGAGGACCGCGAATATGGGCTGCATCTCGAGTCTTGTTGGTGAACCAAACAGTTGGTTCAGCAGTGGTCAATGCCAAGAAGCCAGAAATAGTGCCGGATTCCCCTTTGAAACATGTCTTTAAATCAGACCCTTTTGATCTTTCACTTCCCATGATCACTAGAAGCAACAGATAAATCCGAGGAGCCAGTTGTTCACCACCATCAACACGAAGAGCGTGACCATGCCGGAGGGAAAGTCGTTGAAGTTCAAAGGCCAATACTCCCCCGCCGCGAAGCCCGTGGGCGCGAGAGCTTCATTTCCCTCGTAGATGAGGCCCCCGAAGAGCTGAATGCCCAGGGTGGCGAAGATGTAGTACACCAAGAACAACAGGAGCCCTGGAAAATTCTGCAGGCAAATGGAAAAAAACATCTGCCAAAACAGGGGCAAACTCCAGGAGCCCTGAAAAAAACTCTGCGAGGAAAAGTGGCAAAAAAGAAACTGGGGCAAACACTCGCGGGAGACTTTGGGCCTGGTTCAAAAGCTGGGTGCAGCATCAGATTGAGTGACAAGAGAACGAGTGGAGTTTGCTCGCCTCATCTCGCAGTAAGGGGACTGGAAGTTCTTTTTGTCAAGGCCCGAAAGTGCAGTCCACTTGAAGTTCCCCTGACTTGGGGCCGAAGATGGGAGTCCCTTCAAAGTGTGTTAATTAAACCATGGACTCAGGCTGGTACTCGGTCGGAATGACCGTTCCGGGTTTTGGGAATGAACCGGAAGGGGATGCCCTCAAAGGAAACCATAGGGGATTGTTTGTAGGGTCATCCCAGCTCATTCCCTACCGAGAACCAGCAAGTCACTTTGCAAAACCCTTCTCAATAATTTTGAAACTTCAAAACCCTTCTTCACTCGCAAACCCTTTCAAACCCCACTCAGTCTTTGGAAAAAAACCCGAAACCACCGGAAACATCCCCGGACGGCATCCCCGGACTCACTGGACTCACTCCTCCCGCCTAGCTGATGATACACCGGCACCAGGTGGGCCACCATGGCCACCAAATAGCGCAGAGGCTTGATGTGCTGCACCAAACAAACGGCGCGGGAGATGTGGAGCCTCGCACGAGGGGGAGCGCGTGTCACGCCAAAAGCCAAGGATTTGGCCGTGGTCCGGTACTAGTTGGAAACCCCAAAATGGCTTGCCCTGGTAAATGGAAACATGGACTAAAACATGTGGTCCCGGTCCCCCGTGGTTTAGTGTTGACCCATAGCCATTTGAACCTCAGTGTTACTCTCACAGCTAACAATTAACATATGGCTGTGGTTGTCAAAACCCAGGAAACCCCTGGTGAACATCAGAATAGGTGGCAAATGGATGTTCATCCACCCCAAAGTGGAGCCATAAGTTATGCCCCATGGCCATATGTGCCAATGACTTGACTTGACAACCTCAGTGCTACTTTCAGAGCTAGCAACTCACCTATGTGGCTGTGGATGGATCAAAATCATGTACCACTAATGGTACCCTTGGCAAATGGAACCAAAAACTAAAACCTGCGTAAGCCCAGCTCTTTAATTTTGAGCCACACCCATGTGCCGCAGCAGCAAAACAAGGTCACGGCGTTGCTAATGACCACGCTGCTTTTGACCATGGCGACCAAGCACGTTTACCAAAATTCCTGCGTTTTATGAACATTTCGTTGCATCGTTGACACGCACCATGTTTATTTTGTTCCATGTTTACCATGGCTTTGACAAGAAAGGGCCAAATCGCCTGAGAATAGCAGCACTTCGCGCTGCTGGCCAACACACGCGCGTTTCTTGAGGCTGCCGGGCTCCTTTTTTTTCAAGGCAACTTCGGGCAGCACGCAAAGCCGGGGTAAGCGGGGAGCGGGCGCGCGAGAGCGTCAGCCAGGCAGCGCGAAGACGCGGCAGTGCAGCAGGTAACCGACACCAGAACAAAGGGCTTCGAGCAGATATCGCACCAACAGATGCCGCAAAATGCGCGAAAGGATCAGACGAACTACCAGCGAAAACTTCAAAGTGAGCGTCCAACAAGAACGGATCACACGTCCAAAATGCCTGGAACCACAAGTCAACAATGGGGCAGGGTGCGCACGCGACACGCAGCAGCAGAACGTACGCAACACAAAGAGCGAGAACAAAATGATGACCCATGGTCCTGGAGCCAAAGGTTGGGCCAGTGAATGCCTCAGGGGTGAAAGACGCATCTGCAGCAGTTGAGCGGGTGTGCTTGTCATGCCCTCCCCCAACCCCCGCCCCCAGAACCATGTTATTTTGTAATCCGGTAAAAGAGAAGGCTGGTCTGCAGCAGTTGAGCGGGTGTGCTTATCATACCCCCCCACCCACCCCCCCTCCCCCCCCACCCACCCATCCCCCCCCGAACCATGATGCATGAACGCAGGGATGAACGTCCAAAAAACAAAGAACTCCACGGGGTCGTTAAGGACGCCGTGAGCAAAAACAAGGCTTCAATGGAGCGCTTGTGCCGCATGCGTGTTCAACGCCTCCATGGGCCTTCTGGGCCTAGTCGAATCACTCATCGACTCGACGTTTAAGTGGGCATGTGCCAAAACAGGGGGAATTGTGGTTTTCCTTTGGTTTCCCTTTAAAGCAACCCAACCCAAAACAAGATACCCGTGAAAAAAGCGCGCTCACCTAAGAAACACGAGCACGGTGATGTTGTCTACTTGCAACCTGTGAGGCATTCTGAGGCAGGGCCTTGTCGCTGGAATCGATTCCCGAAACAGGTGGGTTGTTCCTTTGGTGTCCCTTCCTGAGGCACCAAAGGCATCAATTCAATTGAGCTCGAATCTAAGCCGAGAAGCATAAGGAGAGTTCGTAGCAAAAAGTCAGGAGGACAGGCAGGGATGCAAGCAGCTATTTCAAATCCAACCAGAAGTGATATGCTGAACACATCAAAGCGGTGGCGTAAACGCTGATTGTTCCAATAGCGCTCAGGTCCAAAAGTGATCATTTGCAAGACCACGTCTGCAAACAGGAAGAGCGTGGTGAGCGTCAGCAACCTTAGTGGGTTGCTGATCCATTGCTAAAAGTCAAGCTTGCAGTGGAAATTATAACCACATCTAAACTCTAAGGCTGTAGGGTTGGGAATCAGGTTGGGCCAACCCTCTGTTACAACCACTAGTCTTTAGACAACATCTTTTGTTGGCTGGGCTATAAAGAGGACCAGGGGTCGGTTGTTCAAAATTTACTTTACCCCACCCTGTTGGGAACCGAGTCACCAAAACCACACACAGCTCGGCATCAGCCGCCCGTCGTCGAAGTGCCCCTCCACGAACTTACAGGTCTGGGCAAAGGCAAACAAAATCTCCAGCAAAACGACCAGATCCACCACCATCCACCACGGCATGCGCCCACCTGCAAAACAATCTCTCGGAATTTCCGAGCTCGTCCCCCGGGGAAAAAAAGAAAGACATGCCCCTCTCATTTTGGGACGCACAAATCTGCATTCTGGAGATTTTGATCCTACCTGGAAGCTTCACACCTTTCTGCATCACAATTCGCACACTGCGCCCCCAGCAGGTGTTGCCCACTTGAGGGATAGGCCGCAGAGGTATGTAGATCTTGGGGTCTGAAAGCGAGTGCACCACCAGCTGAAATTCCTCGTGGGAGATGTAGCCGCTGCCATCGGAATCCAATGCTTGGAAGGTCTCGAAGGCCCTTTGCCGAATGAAGTGATCGTCTCGGCTGCTGCCAGGGCCAACGGCATGCTCGCAATATGCTGCGAAAAACGTCATCCATCGCTGCAAGCCGATGGCTTGCGCTCCTCAGGGTGCAGAGACATCCAAGTCAGGAATCCGAGTCAAATCCGGCGCCGGTGATATTCAATATGCCACAAAACTGGGGACCCCTTTGACCATGTCAAAGGAAACAAGCATGAAGCCATCTGCAAAAGTCTGGGCCACTTACGCAGGCAAATGAGGTATCGGGAAACAGCGATCAATCTCCTCTTCAAGGCTTCCTTGACCCATCCTTTCACCTTGTTTCCCTTTGGTTTGGAAAGAACATCTCCAAACTACCCTCAGTGACCACATCCCTCATCCTTGCGTAAAGCTACATCCAGCATACCTAAGGTTCCTTTGGTGTCCTTTGGTTTCCTTTAATTTTGGTTGGTTTCCTTTGGGTTTTGTTGGGTTCCCTTGTTCCTTCGGGCTCCTGTTGGGTTCCTTCTGTTTGCTCCTGGCTGCCTTGGTCTGCCTTCTGCCCGCTCCTTCCGGCTCCTCCTCCGCCAACAAGCAGAAGGCGCGCTCGATGGCCACGGCCTTTTGTTCGTCGAAGTCGCGAAGCTGCTCTCGCAGCTTCTCCTGGCAAGTTCTGAAAATACGAATCGGATGGTTGCGACTCATCCATTTCGCACCCACTTTGACACCATGATTGAAACCACGTTGGTTACCTGGCGCTGGTATTGGGGAATCATCGCGATGACCAGCAAAAAAGAGCCAAATGTTCAGACACCAACCAGTTGAGGGGACCTCTTCCTATGGAAGCCGCTGCCATAGGGCACCGATTCATACCGTGGACGAAACCCATTTCACACCACTTAGAAAGCCTGGTTTCTGATTTGATTCCCCAACGTAAATACCAACCAACAATGGTTTCCCATGTATGAATCGACGAAATCCATTTCGCACCCACTTTGACACCATGGCATGGTTGAAACCATCACGTTGGTTGGTATTTACAGGGGAATCAGCAGTTCTCGAAATATGAAATTCGGTCCCCTATGGCAGCGGCGTCCATAGGAAGAGGTGCCCTCAAACGGTTTGTGTCTGAACATGGCTCTTTTTGTCGTAGTAATTACCCTTGTTGGGGGCTGGAATAATTCTTTTGGGGAAACAGAATTGGTGTATATGGTACTTACCCTTGTTGGGGCTGGACTATTTCTGTGGGAAACCAACGAGAAACCAACCATTTTGCAGGCCCCCCCTTATTTGACGCATACCCAAATAGGAATCGGTGCATTTCCTAAAATGACAACGGTTTCCTTGAGAAAACTCCAGCGCTGGAGATCTTTGAAAGTTTTGGGACCAGTTGCAGCCCTGTGTTGCCTGTATTGCATGTTTTTCATTGAAGGGAAAACCATTCAATCCCTGATTAGGACACATTTTGTTTTGGTTGGCTGACCATGTTGTGCAAGAAGATGTCCGCCGACTTTGTTCGGCGCAAGAATAGAGCATAACCCACGTAGGGTTTGGAGGGGGGGTTGCCCACCCCCCCCCCCCACGTACCGCGCGGCAATCTGATGACGTTTCACTAAAAAGAGTCTTCCGGGAGCCGGTCGAAAAACACAGGTCTCAGGCTCGAATCCCCCTGCCGGCTCTCTTCCGGCTCGGGCCTTCCGCCTTCTCTTGCCGAAAACAGTGAACAACACAGTGCTTTTCGACCGCTTTTAACGAAAACGTTGGAGGCCATGCCTCCTGAAAAACACCACCGTTCTTTGCGACAAACGGGGAATAAAGCTGCCATGAAAGGAAATTAATTGGAAATGAAGGGTCAATACAGGGGGCATGTGCGGATATGCAGAACAGTGCAGGGGAGCACTGAACGGGGACTGACGGGGCTTCGGGGGAATGAAGGGGAAATGCAAGGGAAAATGAAGGGGACATGGAGGAAGGGAAATGATGGTGGAGTGCAGGAAAATGCAAGGACATGCAGGGGACAGGAAGCGGAAATGACAGGGAATCAAGGGGAAATGCAAGGGCAACAAAGGGGAACTGAAAGGGAAATGAAGGGGAAAGGAATAAGAAATGAAGGGGAAACGAAGCGAATCGAAAGGACACCACGGGAGATGTGGGAGGGAAATGCCTGAAAATGAAGGGGAAATGAATGGGAAATAAAGGGGAAAAGGGCAGGGAAATAAAGGTTCAATTCAAAGGAAATGCAAGGGAATGCAGGGATCATAAAGGGGACATGAGGGGGAACTCAAACGCTGAATCGCAGGGAAATACAAGGACATGTAGGGGACAGGACGCGGAGGGTGCAATGTCGGCGGACTGAGCCGGAGGCTCTAAAGTTTCCTTAAAAACCCACCACTCAGACAAAGGGCGTGGCGATGGTCTTTGAAATGTGGGGCTTGCCCTAAACCCTTCTTTCCCCAGTCGCAACCTCGACGCACAAGGTAAAACCTTTTTGGTGGCCGATAGGATTGTGGAACCCACCCAAACATGGGAAAACGCTGGCTTCAAAGAAAGGAACCTCTTTTGGTCTGACTATTACCTCCTGGCTTTGCATTCATTAAATCCCTGCAAAAAGGGAACCTTTTCTGATTAGCACAATCCCCCCCCCCCCCCCGCAATTTCACCGGGGAAACGAATCCAATCCAATTAGGGCCTTGTAGGCATCATACACGGAGGCCAGCAGGATGTTGTTCAGCAAGTACAGGGAGATCACCAGGTAGACAAAGAAGAAGCAGAAGGATGCCCTTGACTCCTCGCGAATTCAACATGGGCTCGTCTTTGGAGGCTCAGTAGCCTTTTTTTCTGTGGGTTTCAAGGTGAGCCAAAGGAAGTCCACAACTTGAAGGAAACACACACGCACATCCCTTTGGAAAATCGCCAGGACTGGTTTGAGTGGGGATGCGATTTAGACAAGAAATCTGATCTCCTGGGGATGTAAAAAGAGATCTAGAAAGGGTTCCATCTGTTGACTACCCCAAGGCAGACTTAGACTCAGGGCTTCCCCAAAAGGGAAATCAACCACCCCTGGGTCCTGGGTCTAATTCGCTTGGGGCAGTCAAACAAAATGGAACCCTTGGATTGTATCAGCTGAACATTGGAACATACCCTCAGGAACTCGAACCCAGAAGCGTGGGGCGTTGTGCCACTCACTTTTCCCAAAGGGAACCCCACACCTTCTTCTAGAGGGGTGGCCATTGTTGTGTCTTCCAAAAACAACAGTATTCAACAGGAATAGCACAAATTGCACCCCTTCCCAGCCATTTGTGTGTGTGTGTGTGTCGGGGTGCCACTCTCTTCTTTCAACAGCCTCTGGTCTGAAGGATGTCCCGCACTGAGTTTTTGTTTGGGGGGTGCCGTGTTGATTTTCTCCCGGCATGCGGAAGGCGCGTCGGGGACATCCTTGGACACCTGCCATGTTGATTTTCTCCCATCTTGTCTTTTTCTCTACATGGAGCGGCAACACCGCCAGATTGGGCGGTGTGCCATTGAACTCCCTTGTACCCCCCTCCCCCAACCCTGACCAAAAAACACAGCCTTTTCTTTTGCTTCAACGGACCGCGAAACCACCCCGTTCGAGGCTTAAACACCACCTTTTGATTGCCAATTCAAAGTGGGCTTCCTTTCCGGGTGATGTTGGGGGATATATATATATATATATGTATATATATATATGCATGTATGTGTATATATATATATATATATGTTGCCATGAATGTTTACTCAGGAACCTCCAAAACGGGGCGCATGACTCCCCAGCAAATAGATATGTGGGGGTTGGTCAATATTCCCTTCAGCCCCCAGTTTTGACCATGGCTAACTTTTCCCATTTCACGAGAAAGAAACTTCTTTCATCCTTTTAATTCCAAGGGTCCTCCCATGTCTTACGGAGCTTTTGAAACCAACCGTCCCACGTCCCCACGTCCCGCTGGCGTTCGGGGCCTTGTAGGAGTCGATCATCACGTCCGGGAAGTTGGCCGTGGTGAAGAGGATCCACAAGGAGGCCAGGGACGCGAACCAATTGCTGAAGTGGTGCTGCCCCTGGCGTCAGGGGCACAGATCGGGTGGGGTGTGCCCAACTCCAGATATCTAGTCTCCAAGGAAATGGAACCATACAATTCCCATGCAAGGGGGAGAGGGGTGGCGGTTGGACGTACTGTGGGTGGACAAAGCCCACAGTATGGCATCAATGGGATTGATGCTTTATCCCACTATTCAACTCGGGTTTCATTCCCAACTGCAACCTCCTTTTGGTGTCCCGGGTGCAATTTTGTGTCTGGCGAACACCAACCTAGTTCTTGTCCCAACTTGTGCTCAGAGATAGAAAGCATGATTTTCTGTGTACCCCTAGATAAAGAGAATTGGGCTCGCGTGTTTTGGGTTGGATTGAAACTCAACTGGACACCCACCATTGTGCGGGTGGGCCTCTCAAGATGGTGGAGCCCATTTTGCGTAGTATCCAACTGGAATCCAAAAGGAAACCAACCCAGTTGGGGAGCGGATTCCTTTTCTTGGGCATGAATTCTACAAATTAATAGGAAACCACCTCAAAAGATCTACATGATGTCCACAAAAGATCTACATGATGTCCACAAGTTCGCCTCCCCCCCCCCAAAAAAAAAAATCACCTTCTGAGAAACACGCCAAATATCCCCTTTGACCAAAGGTGAGTCATAATCAAAACCTGGTACAAAAATGGTGCACCTGCAAACATGCTTCAATTAACAAAGAAGCCGAATATCCGCACCAATTTGTGGCAAGGGGGGTATCCCTTACCTTCATATACCCTGCTGCCCACCACCATGGAACCCACCAGAGGGCCCCTTTAGGAACGTCCTTCAAAGGAACCCCGAACGGGTCAAACAGAATACCCATCTCCGCTTTCCCACGTGGAATCCGTTCTCTTTCCGGCGGCTTTCATTGGACCCCGGCGGCACGGAGCGCCGGCGGCTCGGCGCCGTTCGCTCGGCTCGGCGTCGCGCGCCTCGGTGGACCTGGCGAAGATCACGATGGCCAGCCACACGAAGAAGATCACACAGAGCGCCAGGGAGGCCAGGACGGTCCAAAACCTAAGATCAGAAAAAAAAAAACTTACCCGGCCCCGTGGAACCGGGGGAGTTGAACCCCGTATAGAAGGGGTACATGTTTCGCTCGGCTGTTTCAAATCATGTTTGGTGGTTGTTAACATCAAACATCACCTCTTGATCCTTTTTGGTAGTGTTAAACCCTACCTTTAGATTTTATTTTCCGTGCCTTTCAACGTTTGCTTGAGATCCCTTCCCAGTGGCTTCAAAAAAAAAGTTTGGTGGTTGTTAACATCACCTTTGCTTGGTATGCTTTAACATCACCTTTACATCCTGTTTGGTATGTTAAAACAACATCACCTTTAGACCTGTTTGGCAATTCTAACGTTGCCTGTAGATCCTGTTTGGTGGTTTTGTCACATTACCCTTTAGATCCTGTTTGGTGGCGCTAAGCATCGCCTTTAGATCCCTTTGGGGGGTGTTACACATTACCTTAGATCCTGCTTGGTGGTGTTAAACATCGCCTGAGACCCTGTTTGGTGGTGTTAAACATGACCTTTCCTTTATGCCCTTTTTGGTGATCTTTAATGCCATCTTTTGGTCGCCGTGTTTTTGATACGCAAATTTCCTGTTGGGATGATGTAAGGGCTTTGTTGTTGGGGAACCCGATTCCAACAAATGGATGGGCGCCTTGCGGTTCCCCTTAAACAAACCCCAGACAGGGCAGCCTCGAAAAACAAATCCCTACACCCCCCTGCGCCAAAACTCCCACTTTTTGTGGGCGACTGGAAAAATGCGTAGCATTCCCCAAAAAAAGGTTGTTAAAGGTCAAAGATCGAACCAAATGGCAGCCATGCGGGGCCGTGTTGTTTTTTGCTTTTGGAGCCCTGGAGGTTGGGGGCCAAGCGAAGTGTCGGATCCTGAAAGTATCCTTAGAAATGTGACCTCACCCAACAAATGTTGAAGAAATCTCCCAAGGTTAGGAGGGTCCAGAACCTCGCAACGCATGTTAAAGCATTTCTTGGTTGAACAATTGGGTGACCAATTAAAGGGTTCCAACACATAGGTCCTGAATTTCTGATTCCACATGGCCTCAAGCGATCGGAGCCCGTTTGTTCGAAGCCGGTCTCCCAACGCGGCCGGCGGGCTCCAAAAAGGCGGAGCCCAGGCGATTCAGGGTGAGGCGGATGAACTTGGTGTGGCACATGAAAATCAGCGGCCTGTAAGCTGGCTGCCCCCAAGGCCATAGGGCCCTGTTCTGTTGAAATAGGAAGATACCATTCAATGGGGGTGTACGGGTATACAACCCAATTTAGACCAATTGGTGTGTGTGTGTGTGTTTGGAGTAGAGCAGCAGGTAGTTTTCGCAGGTTGGGTGACTTGTTGATTCCATTTTGGGCGGGAAGCCTCTGAACGAAAAGGGATTTAGAGGGACTCGGAATCCTCTGAACAAGTTGGTTAGTTGCTTTGATTTCGCCCAAATAAGTTTGGTTAGGGCACTTTACAAAAAGGACCTGAAAAAAACGGGGGCCTTTGATTTGCTGAAGCCCTGCCTGCATAAGCGACACAGGCGAAAGGATCCTGGCACAATGCCGATGGTGTTGAAGATGGCAACTGCACAGTCCGTGAGCGCAACCAGGATCAGAACCGCTCGAAAGATGTGCCAGCCGCTGTTCTTGGCGGCTTCGCCCAATGTACGCCTTCGCCGCCAGCAAACCTGCAGGTCGTTCTGAACAAAAAAAGGAGACTGGCCCCAACTCAATTGCCACCAGGGCCCCTTTTTGGGTCCCTCAGAAGTCCTAGTGTTTCTTGGGGGTTACCAACAAAAAGCAGCAGTACCAGCAGCAGCAGCAGCAGCAGCAACAGCAGGAACATCAGCAGCTGCTGACTACTTTCTACTTGCTACTAACTACTTACTACTTTCTACTTGCTACTTCCTACTTACTACTACTTGCAACTACTTACTACTCAGTACTCCTACTTTCCGCTACTTTCTACTACTTTGTACTACTTACTTCTTACTAAGTACTACTTTCTACATACTACTTCCTACTTCCTGGTTCCAGCTTCCTGCCTCCTACTTGCTACTAACTACTAAGTACTAACTATTACCACTACTACCACTACTACCACTACTACCACTACTGCCACTACTGCCACGACTACCACTACTGCCACTACTGCCACTACCACTACCAACCCCACTACCTCTGCCACTGCCACTGCCACTGCCACTGCCACTGCCACTGCCACTACTACAACAACACCCAACCACACCCAACAACAACCCCCCCAACAGCAGCTGCAGCCGCCACAGCCTAACGAAACAAAAGCCGACCAGCCTGCGCCAGGTAGAGCAAGCACAGGATCTCCAGCGTGTTGGACACCTAGCACGCTTGGCCCACCGTTTTATTAGACCAAAAAGTTGTCTTCTTCAGAACCTTTGTCTCTTCCTTGAAACTGGACGTTGTGAATTTCTTCAGGGAATCAGGGCTGGCTGTTCGAAGGCAAACGCGCTGGCTGAATAAAAGTGTCCCCGCCCACCTGAAAGGGCATCAGCGGAAAGTTCCAGCTGTACATACCTTCGCGCTCCAGACAGAAGGGCTCCACCAAACACCTTGGTTCTCAAACCCAGGATCTACTCTGTACATCGTGAATCAAGATGGAACCACAAACAATATGTTAGTTTGGTTCCCTGTCAATTTGGAGTGTAAATCTTTGCTCCTGTCCTTGTTTTTGGAAACAGGGTTCCCTGTATTTCCTTGGTGGTTTCAAGTATCACCTTTTGGGCCGATTGGAAGTGAAGTGATTTTGCTGGCGAAACATCTGCCACACTTTGACCCAGACACCAGGAAGGCGTTTCAAAGAGCGCCAGAGCCATATAGACGTACTTCACCAGTACGTTCCTGAGCTGATCTTTGATCCCAAAAGGTGTTGATTTCAGGGCTTCCCATGATAATTAATTTGTTTGAAAAAAGGGGGACTCTCAAAATACTAGGTTCTCTTTTGGTTTACCTTGAAATCAAGCCCACACAGGTACCCTCAACAAAAGACACACCCACGTGGGTTTGTATTTACGAGGGTACCCGTTTTTATTTTGTCCTTTTGGTTTAAACCCAGCCAAGAAGGGTGCCAGCTCTCAAAAAAACCAAACCCAGAGTGAGCGTTGCTCTTCAGCAAAGGTGCAGCGTCTTCAGCCGCTTCCGAAAGCGATACTGGGCCAGCTGCCGCTCGCAACAAGTGTCGGACCATTGGGAGCTACCCTTTGCCTGAGTGACACTCGCAGAATTACCTGAAGACCCACAAACTACCCGCAAACATAGGAAATCCCCCAATGCATTTGGGATTTGGAGCCCAAAAGAATGGTGGTTTGAATGTCCAGGTACCCAGTCGGGAAAGGAACACCTACCAAAAGAGTCATCTTGAGAATGCTGAAACCCAACAGGGAGGTATAAAATTGTGAGAAACGAAACATGTTTCCAAAGTAACTGTGAGAAGCCATAACAATGCTTGTTTTGGCCAGAAGTAGAGCCCTGAATCTACCCCCTCCCTCAAAAGTTTAACAACAGCATCCCCCACAAAAAAAAAAATAACCTTCCTAAACAACAACACACTAGCAAATTGTAACACGATGACCCCCGCCAAAAAACATGAGAAACCAAATCACTTAATTAACACAAGTTTCCTCGCCCCCCCCCCCCCCCCTCCCACCCAAAAAAACAGACTTGGGTGTGTCTTACAAAAATGGCCGCTTTCCCTTTGGTTTCTCTTTGAGGCCCTCCCAAAACGGGTTCCGAGCCCTCAAACAACAGCCCACTTTTACACCCACTTTCACACCCACTTTCCAAATTGGCTGGTGTCCATTTGGTATCTCTTTGAAACCCTCCCAAAACGGCCTTCTAATTCACAAGTGCCTTCAACATTGATACGACTAAAGTGGCTGACTCTGACTTCTTCCTCGCAAACGAGCATCTAAGCCAGGCTGCGGCTTTGTTCACCCACACCACCGCGCAGTGTATCGCCAGCTCACTGGTCTCTTGCCTTCGCTCCAGAGCGGCCGGCGGCAGCACCGGCTTCGGCATGGCTTCCGACATCGCGCGCCGGAGGTGTCGTCCCCTTGGGATCCGAGCCTTTTGGTTGTTGACCCCCCTGCAAAAAGTGGGACACTTTTTGGGGGGTTTAGTGGAAAACCCCTTGATTTCAACCAAAAAGCGAAAGTCTAAAGATCCAATGCAATAGCAGTCAAGGCCTAGTTTCCAGGTGGGGTAAACCAAATGTGAGAATCTGAGAAACTGGTTGCCAATGTGTCGGTCCTTTTCGTCCCAAAAAGGTCGGCATACTTCAGATGTGGCAATGGTGTCGTCCTTTTGGCAGCCTTTAAACTGGCATATCAAAGTCACACGTCAACACGGGAACCTGTGAAATCGGGCAACAGGTGTCCCTTCGGTTCCCATTCACAGCCAAAAGGGGTGCTCGGAAAAGAGACATACCCAAATGAGATATACAACCGTTGGACCCACCTGGACGGGGGTGGTCCAGTTTAAGGAAACCCCCAGGCTGGTGCTTGGAAACCTCCCAATTGGCGCTGTGTTTGCTGGTCGTGTCATTTTTGCCTCATGAATGCCAGCATGACTGGCAAGAGGGCCAGCTCGAAGGGTCCCTCCTATCTGGGCGTCACCAGTGGCTGAAGCCCCTCGGCTTGGAGGCGGCAAGGTGTTTCATGGCAAGGACTGGGCGCATCGCCGGTTGTTTTTTGGGGGGGAACCTGGATCTGTGCCTGGAAAACTTGCATGTCTTGACTGCCTTTGCGAACATCACTGTCGAACTCTCCATAAGAATCCCCATCTGCTTCAGGTGCCCCGATTCCTTTGTGCTCAAGGACCCTTGGAAGTCATCAAAAAGAAAGGCTGCCAGTCATCTTTCCTCAAGAGGACAAACAAAAAGGCCTTTGTGGATCCTAGTCTTCTTGCGGCCGATTGGATACCTGGCATGGTAGCTTTGTGCTCGATCTGGCAAGGATTGACTCCTGTTACAAAATCCACGCCAGTTGCACCAGGGATTTGCCAGTTGTCACAGGGCTCGTCCATCACTGCGTCAAGCGGATTTAAACGCATGGGAATGTCCGGCCGGCCAGGAAGGGTCAAAAGAGGGATTCATGTTTCGACAACCCATTCTTCGCAGCTGCAGCTGACGCTTAGGGACAAGCCCGCACAGAATGAAAGGGCACTAGGAAGCGGGAAGCTTGGAACATGGGTGGGTCTCTAAAGAAAAATAGGGGACCCCCGCCAAAGCAGTGGTTTCCTTGTGATCTTCCTTGTAACTTCTCTGCTGCCCAAAAAGGGAACCCAAGCCACCCAAATCCACGTTGGTCTGCGCTCTAAGAAAGCCTGGAAGGACCAAGGCCCCAAACCTGGGGTCGGCCTTCCAACCCGCTGCGGAAATGCCGACTCAGGGAACGGATACTTCGCTCTTCGTGCGAGAAAAACACAAGGTGGAATCCCCAACAACAAAAACTTCGAACCCTTCCGGAACACTCCCAAATTCCGAACTCCGGAGATCTGGGCAAAGACTTGCACAGCTTGCTCCCTCAACCCTACGAGGACTGCCGATTCCCCCTCTTCAACCCCCAAGTCCTGTCCAAAACCGGTTGTTGGCCTAAAACCGCCCAATTTTGTCCGGGCTCCGGTGCCTGCCCGCGTACATGCCGCAGCGTGTAGCCTTTGAAGGCCTCAGCCAGAGGTACCTGACGCCCCAAAACGGCCGAAACATTTTTTCCTCAAACCAACCCAAGAGAATCGGGTCCTCAAAAGAATACTCAGGAAACCGAGACATATTTTTGCTGGTGGCTTTCCAAATGAAATTTGACAAATGAGGATTGTTTGAAGCCCGAATAATTGTGGTTTAAACTGAAAAAACACGGAAAGAAACACCGGGATGAAAGTGCATGGCACACCTATCTCTCTATGTGATTAAGGTTGGTTAAGTGAACGGGATTATTAAACTTCCAGACCAAAATGGGACATGGGATGTTGGTGTACTTCAAATTACTGGGGGCCACTTGGTTCAAGGGAACATCGTGTGGGGGTAGTAGGCACCAGGCAGTAGGGGGGAGGTGAGAGGAGAGGTGGCAGGGGGCAGCGGGTCCGAAGATTGGTTGGAAGGGAGGGGAGGTTTGAATATGGGGGTTGATTGACAAGCATTGCAATGTTGGATTGACCAAACATGCTCAGCTGGAGCTAGAGAGGGAGAGGGAGAGAGGGAGGGAGGGGGGAGGGAGGGGAGCGGAGCGGAGGGGAGGGGAGGGGAGGGGAGGGGAGGGGAGGGGAGGGGGGGGAGGGGAGGGGGGGGGAGGGGAGGGGAGGGGAGGGGAGGGGAGGGGGAGGGGAGGGAGGGGAGGGAGGGGAGGGGAGGGGAGGGGAGGGAGGGAAAAGAAAATTAGAGAGAGAGAGAGAGAGAGAGAGCGAGAGGGAGGGAGGGAGGGAGGGAGCGAGAGAAAGAAAGAGAGAAAGACAGACAAACAGAGCGAGCCAGAGAGAGAGAGAGAAAGCAGAAACTGGGGGTGGTTCGCTTTAACCAATCTGGGGGGTGACTTTAAAAATAGCAAAATAGCGGGGCCACTCAACGAACCTGTTTTGAAGACTGGACAAGAGCAACCCAAGGCAAACTTGCGTTTGACCCCCCGCAGCCGGGTAAAAACATGCCTGAGGTTAGATTGCAACAAACATCACTTCTCTTTGTGTGATTTTCCCGAAAGCATTGCGAAGGGTTCTTCCGGTAAAATCGCCAGCCTTATCACACAGCTAAACTTGCACGAGCCAACTTGCACGAGCCGACTTGCACGAGCCAGCTTGCCCGTGCCAACTTGCATGAGTCAACTTGCACGAGCCAACTTACACGAGCAAACTTGCACGAGAACAACTTGCACGAGATATCACACAGCCAAACTTGCACGAGACACTTGGACACGAAAGCAATTAATTAGTTAGTCTCTTAAGGCGGCGCGGTGGGACCGAACCCACCCTGCGAAAATGACACCCTCTGCAGGGATTGGCGTGGTCGATGTCCAAAAACTGAGGACTTTGAACGATTTCTGATTTGCCCGCGCGACCCTCTGCGGGAATTGGCGTGGTCGCGATGTCCAAAAACTGCGAACTTTAACGATTTCTGATTTGTCCCCGCGACCCTCTGCGGGGATTGGCGTGGTCGATGTGCAAAAACTGCAGACTGTTTACGATTTCTGATCTGCGCGAGCGACCCTCTGCGGAGATTCGTGCGGTCGAGGTCAAAAAACTGCGGACTTTTTACGATTTCTGATCTGCGCGAGCGACCCTCTGCGGAGATTCGTGTGGTCGAGGTCAAAAAACTGCGGACTTCTTACGATTTCTGATCTGCGCGAGCGACCCTCTGCGGAGATTCGTGTGGTCGAGGTCAAAAAACTGCGGACTTTTACGATTGCTGACTTGCCCGCGCGACCTGCGAGGATTGGCGTGGTGGATCGCACGAAATGCTAGTAAAATGCTACTTTTTCAAGTCGGAACGCGGGCTTGAGAGTTTGTCTCGCGGTTACGCGCCTGCTCTTGGCAGTGACCGGCCCCGGGCTCGAATCCTGCTTGGTCTCCGCGGCCTCTAAGTTAAAGTCAGCAGCGCGGAACTGGCTCACAAAGGGTGCATTCGTAGCTCCGGCTCAAGTCGAAAGGTTGCCATGTTGCGGTCAGCGCTACACGCAGAAACTTGCTCGGAGAACTTGCTCGCAGCATACTTTTGCATAGCGCTTGCGCTGAACACTTGGGCCGAGCACTTGCGCAGAGCAACACTTGTATAGAGCTCGCAACACCAAAGCTTATCAGTCACAGAGGGGCAAACTTTGTAAAGATCCGCAGGCGCACGCACGCGCGCAAGTGCACAGAACCAAAGCTTATAAGTCACAGAAGAGCAAACTTTTGAGATATCCGCGCTAGCACACACACATGCACGCGCGCAAGCCGCTAGCACACACGCACATGCGCGCGCGCAAGTGCACAGAGCTCGCAGCACCGAAGCTTCTCAGTCACAGAAGCGAAAAATTTGCAGATATCCGCGGTAGCACACCCACACCCACACCCACACCCACATCCACACCCACACACACACACAAACACACAAACACACAAACACACAAACACACAAACACACAAACACACAAACACACACACACACACACACACACACACACACACACACACACACACACACACACACACACACACACACACACACACACACACACACACACACACACACACACACACACCACACACACCACACACACCACACACACACCACACGCACCACACACACACGGACACAGACACAGACACAGACACAGACACAGACACAGACACAAACACAGACACCCACCCACCCACCCACCCACCCACCCACCACCCACCCACCCACCACCCACCACCCACGTACACCCTCACACACCACACACACACACGCACGCACGCACGACGCACGCACGCACGCACGCACGCACGCACGCACGCACGCACGCACGCACGCACGCACGCACGCACGCACGCACGCACGCACGCACGCACGCACGCACGCACGCACGCACGCACGCACGCACGCACGCACGCACACGTGCGCGCACGCAACACCAACTCTTGAACAACTACTTGACTGGCACCCCTGCATGTCGGCTCGCTTTGCTTGTCTTTGGTCACTTTCCATTATGCTTTCGGGCCACCCGTGGTTCTAGTTGTTTTTTGGTTGGTAGAGGAGGTGCGCCGAGCAATGATTGTTATTCCATGTTTTTTTTCTCGTGGAAATTCAGTGGCGCCCTCCACAATACCAACGGCCAAAGACTGGGACTCTGCCTGCCGATGTCCTCATTCGTGAAAACAGCTTACATGTTCGGACAGCCTTCCATGTGGCTATGAATTTGAATGGGCAGGCGGGGCAATCCAGTTTTTCCCATCGGCGGCACAACAGCTGTCACACCGGGGTGGAGGGGCTGATTGTGACACCTTGACGTTGGACAGTTTTAGTTTGCTTTGGTATGCTGAGTGGCAATGAGCCAAGCAACGAATTGCAGAGCCACAGGCAAATCGGGAGCATGTCTTCAGTCCGGCCAGCTGGTAAACAGATCCTCCAAGTGGAGTCAGCTTGGCTTTTTGCCGGGCTTCGGCGAGACCAGACTTCCGTGCACCTTTGCACCCCATCCATTTTTGAGGCTGCAAGGATTTCAAGCCCCGCCTGCAAGGATTTCAAGTGCTCTGGGTCACAAAGACCTCTGAGAATGCCCGGCGTGAACTCGTAGTAGTCCTGCTGAAAACCCTTTCTGGCGGCGACTTGCGTGAAAATTGCCCGGCGTTTTCCACCCACACATCAAAGGTTGATCAATATTCCTGGCCCCCAAATGACCATGGGTAACTTTTCCCATTTAGTGGGAACTATCATCCCCAATGGTCATCTCAGGATGTTGTCATCAACCCATACCTGTCCTTGGGTTCGATCAAGGTAACGTCGAACTCTTGCCAGAGGTTCCGCACGATTTGGATCCCTGAAGGTCCACACCTTGCAATGGATGGGTACCATACATTTCCGCCATGGAATCGTAGACAAGCTGCTTGGAGTTTGGACCGTGGTTCTCTTAAACGGACCTTTGTGCCATGTTCGTGCTTGAAAGGGTAATTGCATCTCACAAGACCAAGCATGAAGCAACCACTAAGTACATGTTCATATATTCATGTCTATATCTATACACACTAATATACATACTTTATGTATGTATGTATGTACGTACAGGAAAAAAACGTCGACATGCTATACGTATGTATGTACGGAGCCTAAATCACGAGCCCCTATTAAACAAAGGACAAGCGCATAGCCTCAACCAAACATAGTTGCCGAAAGAAGCCGGAGATCAGTCAAACCTGAATTGAGCAGCCCGCAGCCGTGTCCCCTCCTCAAACCCAAGCTTCGGTGTCGCCTAAGCTGACGACCGCTCCGCATAGGCTTCAGGTCCCTTCAGCCCACCAACTGGATCGAGAGTTCACATGGAGAACAGTTGATGACATTGAAGCTGGAGTTCCTTTTGGTCTCCCTCGAAACCAGTCCTGAAAAGTGTACCACAAAAACACAATCCCAAAAACAGTATCCTTTGGGCTCTACTTAGATAGGATCAAATCCCGCCAGCGAATAGATGGGTGACCCCAGTTCCCCGTGGTAAGTGGGTCACATGTCTTTGCAACAGATTTCGCGAGCAAATCTGGCTGCCCTCTTTACCACGTTATCATGGCCCATTCAGCAGCGGGGCTCCACATGAGGCTCATCCCCTTGGAAAACATCAATGTACCCCGTGAGTACAGGTCTTGGACGTATGGCGACTGATACACTCTTACTTGCGTGTCAGTCAGTATATGGTCTTGTAAGTAACTGCCACATCTCCAAAATACCTTTGCCTGAAGAATCGAGCAAACAGTAATCGCAAGCAAGTGAGCAATTTATGATTCACCAACCTGCCACTTTCAAAGGAAACCAACATGACACCAAAACTCTGGATGGGCCCACTGGTTTTCGCGCACTGTTTGGTAGTTAATGAACTCAGGAAGTGAGGTAGCTAATTGTTGGTTTCCCCTTCACCATCGAAAGGAATTCCAAAGTTTCAGGAACGATCTATTTCCGCTGGAGAAGCCAAGCCGCCCGATCACCAAAAGCCGTGGCTTGCTGCCTTGCTCATCCTGTGTGGAAAAGGCAAGGGCTTTGGGAAGCTTTAATGGAAAAGCACCCTTTCCGTGCAACCTGCTACTAGCATGGTTACTCTTTCCGACGAATTACTTTATCACTTCAGGCCGCGGGAGCCAGTAGTATCACACAAAACACACCAAACCACAATTGTTCAGAACATGGTTTACATGCTCCAACAACAAGGTGAAGCGCAGCTCAAGGACTATGGTTGTGGGAAGACTAGTCTGGGCTGACAACAACAAGAACTCTTTGAGGTGATTCCCTCGGGCACAACATGTCGTCAGCGTTCCAGGGTCGCATGTGGCTGTCAAAAGCGGCTACTCCTCTTGACGACGGTTTTGCGAACAAGGAGCAAAAAGGCGATGCACTCAGAGGTCCCTTCAAACTGTGAAACGGGAGACCCCAAAATTGGCACCCTCCAAAACAAACATAATTGGGTCTTCGGCCAAGTGGAAAGCCGCCTGGGTAACCCACGAAAGGGTTAACTCCACCTAGACAAGCTCGGAAGTGCATAATTATAACCCGCCAACCAACGCCGAACACTCCGCCGTACACATGGCTTTGCTTGGAGGAAAAATGTGAAGCTTAAAGAAAACCGCCATTCCAGTTTGACGCCAGTCCCGTGTCGTCGGCAGTAATTGGGGAGGCAAGTCAGAACAGTCGTCCCAAAAAATATGCCCCGCGAAAAAAGTTACAAAAATAAGCTTTTGACGCCCACGAAATACGTATTTGTTCCTAGGTGCTCAAATTCCATAATTGTCAACAGTGCACTCATTGTCAGGCACTCAATTGTCAGTCAGTTTGTGGCATCACCCAGCAATACTACAACAATTCTCAACCGGCACCAAGCAATACTGGACGAGACAAAGAAATACTAAGGCAATACTGAAACAATTCTAAACTGGTACTAGCAAGTACTTAGTGAGACTACTTAGGCCCAACTTTGACCCCGATTTGTGTTAAGGTGCTTCCCTCATCGACCCCACCCCATTTGGGGGCCTTTGCTGCTCACTCCCCCACACCAAACAACAACTCACAGCCAGTGTCGCACCCGGACCCTGCGCACAGCCGAAGTCCGGAATGCCTGCCACCACCCGAAGGGGTTGAAGACACGACCTTCGCGTCAACCCCGAGCGGGGATACCACCCCCCCCCCCCACAAAAAAAGGCCCTCCGAACAAGCGGGGTATGGGGAAGGAGGCCACAGGCCCCTGCCATCCGTACAGCACTCAGGGGCGGGGGAACGTGGGGATACTCATGGTTCGCTTCTTAAAACAGAAACGCCATCTGAAACGTGTTGATTGTGCGCACCTCGGCGTGCTGACACATGAGCAGTCTCATTGCGATGGACACACAAGCCCTTCTTTCCCAGAGCCCTCATCGATCCTCGCAATGCAGGGCCAGGTCTGTTTGTCACCAGGGCCGGGTCCGGGTCCCCTAAATCCAAGGGATGTTCCTGAGGTGTGTGGGTTGCCATGAGCAAACGCCTGCAACTGAAGGCGGCTCAGCGGCAATTTTCGGATCGCAGCGGCATGGCGTCAGAATGTCATGGCTTGCAACATTCAAGCTCTGTGAGCCATGGCTTCCCAGTCTAGCGCCTTTCCCGGGGGTCGGTTTCCCTTTGGCAATCTGTTTTGGCCATGGGGTGATGTGATATTTTTGGGACAAGCCCTGTTTCCAAGCTTGTCAAGATGGTGTGCATCTTGAGCCGCGCAGCGAAGCAGTCATCGTAAGTCCCAACTTTTGTGCACCGATTGGTTTACCCATTGCAGCCACTTTTAAGTGGCGGTTAGACTTCTCATGGCTCGCCTAAGGCTCTGAATCAATGGATGGCGTCCCTGCCCTGCTTGATAATTACTGTGGGTGGTCAAAATCCACTTCGCACCAGTTGGGATACACAAAGCCCTGAGTGGTTGGCAAACCACCTACCAACTGGTGCCTCCCGTGGATTTTCTCCATCAATGTCATGTCTGAGTGCAGCACAGCTTGCGTTGCGCGTCATTGGCAAGTTCAGTGGCGCCATGAAGGCTTGAGCCCACGTACAGCTTGGAGCCCCCCGGCAGGTGGATGATGTCTAAACCTGGCCACTCTGCAGTTGCTTCTTCAGGCCATTGGCATCTTGACAAATGGGACACTCTAATTTGGGAGCTTGTTTCTTGAAGGGACACCCCCCCCTTTTTGGGAGGGTGATACTTTTCCTGACCCAAAAAGAGGGGAAGCACCGCATCCTCCCATCAAACGTGGAACTGCACAGACCTTCTTTTGGAAGGCGTTTTTTCCCTACTGGAAAAGCAAACCCATGTGGGAGATCCCAACTTTGTTTGATGCCCTGAGGCTTGCTTGGCGCTTGCCATAGCGCCCAACGACCCATCGACTGTTCTACTACGTCTAAACAGCGTAGAGATCGCTTAGCGCCCTTTTTGAAGAGCAAGGCACCCTTTGCCGAGTCGAACCGCCCCATTTTAAAAAGACAAAAAAGCGAGGGCCTTGTTCGACCTCGGTTTGCGCGCAGAAAGGGCCGGCCTCCAGTGTGCATGCCAACCGTGATCTCGATGCAGGGCTCCTTCGAGTGATTGGGCGTGTCTAAAGGGGCGCCTTGTTGATTGGTTCTAAAGGGAAACCAAAAGGAAACCAGCCATTTGTGCGTGTGTGTGTTTTGCTTCTTGGCATTCTTGTGTTGGGGGGGGGTACCCTATGTTGAAAGGGAAACAAAAAAACATGCTTGGGGGCGGTACCCTATTTTGAAAGGGAAGCCAAAAGCAAACCAACCGGGCCTTTGTGTGGGCTTGGGGTACCAAATGTTGAAAGGGACACCACAAGGAAACCAACCCATCTTTGGGGTTGCCCTATTTTGAAAGGGGAACCAACAGGAAACCAACCACGTTTTGGGGGCGGTACCCCGCTTTGAAACGAACACCAACGGAAATTCAAGCCTCCTTTTTTTGGGGTGGGGACCAACCATGTGTTTGCTCTTATGCTATTTATTGTTTATTTGGTGTGTGTTGCTGCTGTTTTGTTGGGGCACAACTATTTTCGAAGGACAACCAAAAGGACACCAGCAATTTGTGTTGTCTAGTTTTATTTGTTTGGGGAGGGGGGGGACCAAAGGAAAACCAACCTTTTTTGGGGGAGGTAATACAAGGGACGTGGTGTTTCTTGGTGTCTCTATGTTTATATCTTTCATATGTCTTATATATATTATATATATGATATTTTTGGTGTCGGGGGTTACCGTATATTGAAAAGGGAAACACACAGGAAATCACTCATTATTGGGGGTTAGAGTATGTTCGAAGGGAAACTAAAACGCAACCGAACGCAACCAACCATGTGTTTGTTTCTTATCTTGTGTTTTCAATGTTTTTGGGGGGAGTACCCTAGTTTGAAAAGGACACCACAAGGAAAGCAACCTCTTCTTTTTCATATTTGTTCTTTATTGTTGTTTGTATTCGCAATTCTTCCTTTTTCGTTTGGGGGGGGAAGCTATTTGGGACAGGAAACCACAAGGACTTTTTCTTATATTTGGGGAGGACGTCGGCGCCAACAGGAAAACAACCATTTCACGCTGCTTTGAACAGGCAACCAAAAGTAACCTGACTTTTATATATATATATATATGTATGTTTTGCGTGTGCAAAAAAAAAGCCAGATGTTCAAAGGAAACCCCAAAGAAACCAACCAGTTTTCGAGCTGAACGCCAATGGGGCCATGACTTCTCTGATTCAGTTTAAAGAGCTCCTTTTCATTAAGATCCAATCAGAAACTTTGCGGATTTCATGATTCATTCATTAAATCAAGACATATTCCAATTAGAATGCCCATCTTAGATTAGAATGTCAAGCCCAAAGGAGCATGACGAAAGTTTGGTTAGAATCATAACACAATTTAACATGGAAACACATCAAGTAGAGCTTTTCTTTATGGTGAGCGAACGGTTAAATGCGAATTACTTGCCCACAGGTTTTAATTGGCGTTTAAGTCATTAATAAGGAGAGTCAGTCTCTTCTATTTGTTTTTCTGATTGGCCTGCCCCTTAAACAGAGTGAAAAACCGACAGAGACTCCAGGAACATGCAATGTTGTACTATTAACTTAAGATACGATTTCAATTGTTCCTTGCTAAAGTTATTCAAAAATCAGCTTTAATCAACATCTTATTCAAACAGAGGTTCATAATATATATATATATATATATTCGGACTTAAGGTAGACAGTCTAACTGATCTGCATCCATATTGTGTTGCTTGTCTTTAGAAAACTCACGTTGTGTCTACCATGTGAGTGTTAAGAAGAACATGCTTTCAAAAAAACAAACCGGACGCAAACAAAATGACCAACCCCCTGTGGATTTGCACAGCTCAGGGTCTGGAGCCGTGCCCACCCCGGGCCAACATGGAAGCTCCCGGCGCTCGTTTGGAAGACCTAGTTCCATTTATGGCCTTCTGGGAGCGTCCATGTTCGCCTGAGGGAGTGTTCCCATGAAACCCGAGTAGCTTGGGGACAGGCACTTTTGGAGCTGGAGCCTTTTGATTGAGGTCCGTACGACCCCAATAAAGGTCCGGAAAACCGTCAGAGGGTCCTTGCATAGTGAACCAGTGAACCAGTGAACCAAGTCCCTTTACTATCCTTTACTGGTAGCAAGGCCTACAACCAATCCTGCTACAACAAAGTGTTTTTTTTCGCTGCTGCACCAGATTCAAAGTTATGGTTGATCGAGAACCTTGTAACTGAATGTCATGACCCCCAGGGCCCTGGCCGCAACACAAATGGTTTGTCTAATTTGATGAGTGAATTGGCCCCACAGAACAGTCAACCACTTTGTGAGTGTGTGTGTTTGCAACAAAACTGGTCTTCCCAAGAGACCAAAGTCCAGGACTCGGAGTGAGCTTTCAAGGCGCCTGAGGGCTTCATCCCAACTGCTGCAGGATTCTCATCTGGTGTGTTTTATAACAAGGAGGCCCCCCCCAAAAGAAAAGAGGAAAAAACAACAAGAACATGTTGCTGTCCCCCCCCTCCAAAAAAAACCACAAGTTGTTCTCCTTTTGGTTTTCCTCTTCAAACCAACCCTAAACGAGGGCCACCGCCACGCGCCGCTCTGAGCGAAGCGCGCGTCCTGCTGCGCGCACCACACGCAGAGCAGCTGACCCAGGCGCAGGGCCACGTCTTCCGCGCTGATCGCCAGGTGCCTGGCGATCGATGGCCCCCTCGATGGTGTTGGACTGCCCAACCCCCGGCTTTTCCAAAAAAAAGAACAACCGGATTCTTTGACCTCCATTTACCCCAAACATTGCTTTTTAAAACGGTGTTCCAATCAAACAACCTGATCCATGTACCCAAAACTTTAGGTTTGGTTAAAGCTCCATTTACCCGAAACCTTGGTTTCTTAAAGCTCCTTTTTCCCCAATGTTGGCTTTGTCGACCTCCATTTGTCCCTAAATTGCGATTTTGTTGTTGACCTCCGTTTATCCCCCAAACGTTGTTTTTTCAAATCTTCATTTACCCCAAATCCCCAAAAACCTCATTTACCCCAAATCCCCAAATTGTGGTTTTTGACCGCCATTTACCCCCAAACTTTGGTTTTTGACCTCCATTTACCCCAATTTGTGGTTTTTGACCGCCATTTACCCCCAAACTTTGGTTTTTGACCTCCATTTACCCCAATTTGTGGTTTTTGACCTCCATTTACCCCCAAAATTTGGTTTTTGACCTGCAAGTCGCAGCAGACCCCTCCCCATGGTTTCGCGCAACTTGCCTGATAAGCTCCCGCTTATGTGTTCAATGAGATGGCAATACCACTCTCTCTAATCCAGAAAGTGGCATTTTGCTGCAACATGCTGCACAGACAATCGAAACAAAGCCTGAATTTTTGTTTGGTCCTTCCACTGTTGGTGACCCAACAAGGTCAGCTTGGTTGAAAGCAAATAGATTCCACTGCTTTCAAGTTGGCATCTTTTCGTTGACTTACCAGTGGAATCCATTGGCTTTTCCAAACACCTCGGGTCGAGGAATGATCTTTCAATCGCGTGACCCTTGCGGTGCATGATGACATTGCTTTTGGGGTTTTAAAAAGGTCATGAAGAGGAAACTCAAGCATCGGCTTCTAAACTTTGAGACATACCAATTTTGTCCATTGCAAAATGAATCCTTGGCTTTGGGAGAAAAGAGCTCCGTAACGCCAACATTTTTGTTTTTTGAACGCCCCCGGCCGGCATCACCAAAAGCTTTGAGTTGTTGTCGTGGTTTTGGGTTGGTTCAGGGTGGGTTTAAGGCTTCTTTAAGTTTAAGGTTGGTCCGGTTGTGGTTTGGGGTGTGTTTGGTTGTGACTTAGGGTGGTGTAGGGTCAAAAAGCCACCAGAAAGCCGCGGAAACCCGCAACAAGCCAACGAAAGGTGTGCTGGTCGCTGAACAACGACCCGACAAACAAGCGAGGGCGTTGAGGGGGGGCGGGGGGCACCCCCCCCACATAAGAACATCAGTGAAATGACCAAGCATGACAAAGGCTATCCTAACGGTTTTGCTGAGGGTGTTACCTGAGGATGTTGAAAGCAAAATGGCCTCCCCAGACGAAGCCCTGCAGGAGTCGGCGGTGAGTGGTTTGTCCCAGTATTCAATTCGGCTCTATCCACGTATTCCCCGAAGATCACTACGGAAACTCATTTGGGCCAGTCCCACCTCGAGTCCTTGCACTGAAGCGCGCCGTGGCTGGCTGCCACCTGTCGAACAGGAAACCGCCAAAGGGTTGAACCGGTTAGGCTTGGTGGCTTGTTTGTGCTTTTGTTTAGGGGGGGTTGGCTTTGTTGGGGGGATGCGCTTTGTTCAACCCGTTCAACGTTGACCCAGTTGTTGTCGTTGACAACATGGGGGCACCATCTTTTTTGTGGGGGGGGGGGGGTGCCCCAACTTTGACACATACCCATAAGAGTGAAAACAACAAAAAGGCACTTCCAGCACCACGGGCTATCCGGTACCGCATTGAATGCCCTTCGGTTAAATGTGGAGCAATTCGACAGCCCTCGGAAGGTGCTCTGATTGCTTGTTTACAACCTTGGCAGACAAGCCCAACCCGCAAACAGCACGGGTTTGTTCGGGTTCCAGCTTCTGATTTGCAAAAGATTTGTCTCCCATAGCAAAAAAATCGAATGGCCAAACACTTGCCGCACATTTGTGGCAACGTGGACGGTCCTGTTTGAATTGTGACTCCCTTGCCGTGTGCCCCTTCCCTAGGCTCCATTTCAGCTCCAGAAATGGGGTTTGGCTCGTCTCAATACGGTTTGATTGACCAGGCCGAACCTCCCGCCCCCCCAAAAAAAAGATCTCCCTTCGGATTCTCACCCCAAGGGTACTGACTCCGAAGCAAGGCACTCCATTTACAGCCGACGCACCACTCCCAACATTGTTGCTTCCCTTTGAACACACCCAAAACAACTGGGGCAAACCCACCCACCCCCGACAAGACAAGGGTAAACCAAAAATAGACACCACACACACACAAAAACAAACAACAACACCAAAAAATCGTATGAACAACTACCAAACCAACAAACTATCCGGTGAAAACCAACATACTATCCGGTGCTGCCAACGTCCTTCTTTCTCCCCATCGGGGGGTATTTGTCAGATTAAAACTATGGAGCCACAAAATGGGCTTCGGTCTCTTTGGGTTTCGTTACCAATCCAAGAAGGGCAAGTTGGACCGGCAGTTGTAGCGGGGCGCGTAATCATGGGAAGCTGCTCTCCCTTGTGACTTCTTTGGGGTCCACAATTAAATTTGTGTTTCCTCGGAGCGGCCAACTGGGAACCCGTTTCTCTATCATATCTGCTCGAAGAGAAAACCGACTTCACATCTCAAATCTGGGGATCCTTGGCTTGAACAGCTGGCCCAAATCATCAATTTCCTGACAACCTGGCTGTCTTTCTTTTTAAGGGACCCCCCTTCGAGCCGCCCTACCACCTACCTGTGGATGGAGGAAATCCATTTCGCACGACCTAAAGGTTACCCTGGGACCTGATTCGATGCCCCAACGTAAATACCAACAAACTTTTTGGGTTTCCACCATGGTTTCAACTCGTGGCGCGATCGAAAGGATTCCGATTTCAACCATCCACCTACCCCCCATTTCGGTTGATCCGCACGCTTTCGAAAACCAAGCGTGAACCAACGACGGGGACGAAATTCCGCGGCTCCGGCTCCGACTCTCCGACTCTCCGACTGCCTCCACGGCCGTGGCGCCCAGCAGCTCCCGGAAGGACTGGATCTCCAGGTGCAACGCCCGCAGCTGCTCTTTGCGGATGCCGGCCTCTCGGCTTCAGACCGACGAATTGTCGGTTTCGCGGAGTGGATCGAAGCCACTGAGTGTCGTGTGTTGAACTTGAGGATTTTGTGTTGAGGCTACCCCGGCTACCCTTTGTTTGGTGGCTTTTAAGGAAAACCACAAGCAAAACCAATGCAAGTTTGCTTGGATCTTTTTTGAGGGGGGTGCCGTATGAAACAGAGTATGGGTCAGAATGAGTCACCAGGATGTAGAGCGCAGGTGTTTTAGTCCTTTCCATGTTATCAGGGGAAGCCCCTTTGGGGTTACCCGATGAGGTTACCATAAGTATCACTCGGGGAACTAAAGATTGGATCCTATCCGATCGCAGGTAACCATGATAACTTGGGCTGGGGTCAGTCTCCTTGTACCCATGGCCACATGGCGCTTGGCCGTGATTGATCTTGAGCTTCTGAAGAAAGGTTGGACCCCCGCCCGGGAGACGGCGGGGGGGGGGGGGGGGTCCGATACTCTCAAGAGGCTCTCAAGGGTTGGGATGTGGCAAAGCTAACCTGAAAAAAAAAGACGCGCGCCAGGGTTTCACGGCATGTCCCGTCCGCATCTTCATGAACCCTGAATTTCTTTGCTGTTCAAAGTGTGTGGATCTAGCACAAACCATAGGCAGAAGATCGAAGGAAAAGGAAAGGATACTGGGAGCCCAGTTGATTCGTACACCCCTGGTTGATTTGGAGGGTGTCCAAACCGCCATTTTGGGCGGACAATCCCTTCAGTCTCAATCACGTGTTCTGGATCTTCTAGGTATGAAAAATGGAAAGGGGTAGAAGCCTTGAAAGAAGGGAAGGCAAGGACAAGCAAAAAGACTCATCGAAAAAAGATTGGGAAAGACCAAGCAACCTGAGCAAGCAAACCTAGTATTGCAGGGATCTTCACAAAACCTTTGGCTCGCATGACATGGGCGGACACTTGCCTTGTGGCAAGAGTACTGTCCCCTGATGAGATCCCAGGGAATAACCGTCACTTGCTGCTTGCAAAAAACATAAAAATGAGAGCTGGCCCCCGGGCATCGAAAGGCACAACCATGGAGCGGGTCCGAAAGGATTCAAACGGATGCTGAAACCGCATGCGGCAAAGTGTTGCTGTTGATGTGTGCTCAAATGATAAGACTCACGGACTCCTCAAAACCTGCTGGTTTTGGTGATGCCAGTTCGTGCAACGACCGATGTGTATGATCCGACAAGATCTGCAAAAATCGTGCCGCTAGGCCTGGCAAGCCTTTGTCAGTCGCCATGCCAGGCAACAGCAAACGCCTGGCTTGGCTGCCGGCCATTTCTTGCCCTTGGTCCTATTGCAACCGTGGCTTCAACAACTGGTCTTATATCCGAAGAAATTGCGTAAACTTCATGGCTGTTTAAACAAACTCCTTTTGGTTCCCATTTTGAAGGGGAGCCACCTAGGCGAGCAATCAAGATGTGAAGAGCAATTCCCACCCCCCACAGGAAAGGTCATGATACCTTCTGATTGAAGGGGCTCCTACAAGGCTGCGGGGTAGGGCCCCAATGTGTCTCTACTCAACTTGGTCAGTTTTGGTCACAAAGAGCCACCCAAGAGGCATGGCCGGTCTTCAAATGTCAAAGCTGCGGGCGTCAAACCTCCACGCGCGGCCACTTTCCAGCGGCTCAAGCACGGGTCTTTGCAAAATGATTTTAACAGGAAACACAAAAAGCAGATTCAGTCCTCGGGATCCGCAATGATTTCAGAAGGCCTCCCCCAACATAGAGGCAGCTATGATTTCAGAAGCCCCCCACAAAAAAAACAAGGCATGAGATGGTAGCGGACGCTCTGCGGAAGCCACTGCCTGTGTCTGCAGAGTAGGTACTCTCGCCAGAGGCATAGCCTCAGGCTGCTCTAAGCAGCTGGGGCCTTTTTGTTTTTACTCAGTTGGAATGACTTTGCATAAACCCACCCAACCTTGGTCAACATTTTTCTAGAATGTCAAATGACTTTCGCAAGTGGCAGGCCACAATGAGGCTTCGAGTCAGATTACAATCCAAAGCACACGTATCTGATTGAAGCAGCAACTTAGCCAATCACCATCACTGACCACCTTGGTAAAATCCATGCCATGTGCTGGCAAAGCTGGGGACAGCCAAATGTTCAAAGCTGCACAAACAGCCAAGTAAAAAAAACCGCTTTCAGCATGATACCTTTGTCTGTTCATATGTTCTTGAACCCAACTACTACGCAAGTTGGTAGTTGACTATCCAGTGCTCTTTCTGCACAATTCTCGTCTTTTGGAACATGCTGATGTCTTGAGAGAATGATTTCCCCCAACTGCTTGATGTCGAACGTTCTCAAAGGCGGGAAGGGTTGAAGACTTCCGTTGGCAACTGGCAATGAGTGTTCCACTTGAAGCCTGAGAGCCCAAACACGGCGTCGAACGCGGAGCGGACCTCACATGCCACATGCCGCGGAGCGGACCTCTGGATTGGCCGGGCGGTCCTTTTGTCACTCCGGCTGCAACATGAATCGTGCGGCAACAGATCCACGTTCCAAAGTCAAAGAGATCAAAGACAGTGCAACGAAACCTCACACATGGATCGCGTCACCCCAAGTTGCCACCTGTTGTGCGACTGCGCTAGGTTCCAGCAGCATTTCGACCGGTCTCAAGCTGCTGCATGTCTCGAGATGATCGAATACAGTGGCTATCCTCAAACAATCGCACACCCGGACGCCCCAGCAAAGGTCGGCTCTTCAGCGGAGCCCTGTGGTATTGTTGTACTCTGGCATGCTGCCTGGAAAAGGCCGCCAGAAAAATTAAAATTGAGAGGCTGGCAAAACACTACCAAGTTGCACCAGTGGGGATCCAGAAACCCTTGGCCTTGCAGGTCTGCACATATTTCCTGAGTTGGGCCGAGGGCGTGGCCTGCGTGGAATTTCGGTCAAAGTAGAACCTGTCGACTATGAGCTGCGCCTCTTGTGGCTGGAGCCGGGATAGAATCTGGACCACTTCCTCCAAAGGCAGCTGCCACCTGAGTAGTTGTTTACTTGGGTATGGGTCAAAATTAAACCACCAGGATATGGACCGCAGGTTTTAGTCCATGTTTCCATTTACCATGGTTCCATTTTGGGTACCCATTTTTGACCCACAGCCACTTGTGGGACATGGGGTTGTCATGTTTGCGGAGCCCCGCTTTGGTGCGAGCAGGGAAAGCAAAAGGGAAACCAATCCTTTTGGGATCTCCTTATGTTGAGACAGACCCAGCTGAGGCTCACTTGTCATAAATCCCTCTCGTGAATTGTAAAGGTCTAGGCTTTAGTATGATCCCAAGATGATCCAGTACCACCTAACTGGTGGGAGAAGTTTCCAGGCGCCTAACAGTCTAAGCTGGTCTCAGACTATGGCTGACCGAGCCACCTCTCCGCGAACTCCTGCCAGGCCGCTGGAGTGGTAGCCTCGGAAAAGCTGGCGACGTGCTGCTTCAACCGCTCCAAAACGGCGGACGGAGTCGACTGAGTGCACCAGAACCCCTTCATCACGAACTCCTGGTCTTCCAGGCTGAGCGTCCTCAGAATCTCGCCGACCTCCCTCAAAGGTAGTTCCCAATCAGAGGCAAATCTGGACATGGGATCAGAGGAATGACGCTCCCTGAAGCCTTTCCGCACGCAGGACTCAACATACTTTGCGAGCACCACATCAGGAGAAACTGTGCCACGAGTAGGGTCGAAGCTGAAGCGTCTCAGCACCATATCCATGTGCTCAGGCTTCAAATCTTGAAGCAGCGCTTCTGTGCTCTCCAATTCCAAACCCCACTTGGTCACAAACTCCCAGATCCTCGGATCCTTTGGATCCTCCCAGACCCTCGGATCCTCCCAGACCCTCGGATCCTCCCAGACCCTCAGATCCTCTGGATCCTCCCAGATCGGAGAATCCTTTGGATCCTCCCAGATCGGAGAATCCGTTGGATCCTCGATCTCGGCGCTGTCCGACTTCTCGCTGCCCGCTTCGCGGCCAGCTTCGCTGCCCGCCTCGCAATCGCGGCCCGCCTCGCGGTCGTCCGCCTCGACGTCGACGCATGCGACCCTGGGCTTCGCGTGGGTGCCCCAGCGCCCCCGGCGTGGCGCCTCACGGGGCGGCACGTCCAGCGCCTTGGCGAGCTGCGCTTGCAGCTCTTCCTCGCGCTGATGGTGGCGCTCCGTCTCTCTTCTCAACCTTCGAAGCGCACAGGATGCGAGTGGTCCTAAAAATGGTGGAGCCCCTTTTGGTGGCTATCTGAATGGAAACCAGAAGAAAGCCAACCAGTTTGAGGAACAACTATTCTGAGAAACCCTCCATGTCCACTTCCGGAGGTTTGATTGAAATGCAAACCTAACCTTACAATGATCAAGCACCAGTTCCACATCAAGCTGCTGTTCACGTAGATCTCTCTCGTTGCTACGAGCCACCTCTAGCTGCTCGCGAACATCTCGGAGCATGCTCATCAAAGCATCTTGACTGGCATCCCGTCGCAACAGCTCCTTCCCCAGCGACCTGACCAAATTCTCTTGGGGCTGGCTGCGTGCCTCCTCCTCCCAAGGATCCGATGCCACCGATTCCGCGGGTGCCGCCGGCCTGAAATCCGGGGGCGGCGCCTTGAAGGTCGGCTTGGGCAATCCGGCCTCCGGCGTTGGCGGCGGAGGCTTTGGCGGCGGAGGCTTTGGCGGCGGCTTTGGCGGCGGCTTCGGGCACGCCGAGTGCGAAGCTTGGCCTCGATCTCTGCAAAGGTCTTTAAACCCAGGTGAGAAAACCTCGCGGAACAAGGGGTATTCCCCAAAAGTGGGAGAAACCGCGGGCAGGGGTTTTAATCCCATCTAAAATGGGACCCCTAGCAATTCGTCAACCAGAGGCTTATTCATCCTGGGCTCCCACTGTCAACGGCGCTCTCCATCCTTTGTACATGTCTGCCTCAAGGTTGCCTGCTCTGAGGCTCAAGCTGGGCGCACCACGTTCTTGCCGCATCTCTTTAGCCGTCGCCATTATGGCACGAAAACCTGAGCGTTGGTCACCTGCGAGCCTCTGAGCTGAATGCCAAGGGGGCTATGAACATTCATTGAGCTGCAGCCCAGGACGCATCCGTCAGCGTCGGCATCAAGACGGCTACGTGGATGAAAGCCGTTCGCCGTGCAGGACATGACCTTGGCACCAAACATGCCAGGTACGCATTGAGCACGGTTCTCTTGGCAAGTATACCTTAACTAGCATTGACTAGCATTGACGAGGCGTGTCAAGCATAAGGCCGAAGCATATGCTCGAAAAAGTTTGAATACATCTCTCCCAGGCCCTTGCGGGACATCATTACCTTAGCTCACTGGTGAGAAAACTGGCGCAGAATGATTCGAACAAAATCGGGCGTGTCTTTTTGGAAGGTACCTTTTGTGGAGGTTATTTTAAAGGCAAATCACAGGGAAACCACAATTTTGGAGGTTCCCCTAGTTCGAGACATAACTTTCAAAGCGTCTCATTGCGAAGCAAAGGCACGGGGGACTCGGAAGCGTCTGCAAACAAGATAGCGCTGCTCCTGGAGCAATCTCAAGGTTGACACTGACGGACAATTTCCTGCAGTTGATAGGCGGTTTGTGCCCACATTTGGGGCAGCCACAATGCAGGAGTTCCGTCCATCCAGAGTATCACGCACAACTGAGGACCAGTCCCGCGCAAGCAGGAAGGCTGCTGGCCACCAAGCAAGCAGACTGAGCTTGCCGTTGGGCCGTTCTAACAAAAAATGTTCACTGAAGCCAGGAAGCTGTAAAGAAAAAAGACACATAAGGAGGAAAGCACAAGAACTCACGTGTCACATACTGTATCAGCCGGCGACGAATTCAATTCCAAAGAAATCGCCAAGGACATCCACTGCCTGACGCACTCATTTCCTTCACTTTGTGGCTGCTATTGGCAGGGCACAGGCAGATCCTTTCGGGTTAAAAACCTGAGCCGTGGATTCCCCATCCGTTTGCACCTGGCGCAGCCTGAGTAGGCTTGCCCTCCTTTTGTTTAGACAAGTGGTTCCAGTTGGTGCGGCTAGAATTTTGATGGGGAATCTCCTTCAAGATGGTGGGTGGACATAAATCCCAGGCAAGTGATGCTCACGCAAGGATCACAATTCCAAGTCAGAGCCCATTCAGGTGCCCGTAAAATGCTAAAGCGAAGGATAAACACTCAAGCCTTTTGCAAACATGCTTGGCCCCACCCTGCTCACAGGCCGCAAACCCAGTAGGCCTTGTACTCCAACAAGTTCTTGGAGGCAGTATGCACTTGTCACATGGGTGTGCCGAACATGTCTTGGAGGAAACTCGAGGGAAAACCACTAGTAGTTCGTAGCCTTTTGATGTTGACGCACGGCCACGGCACACAATCCTCCTGGGGCCCAACGTTGTTTTTGTTGGCGCACAGCAGGGCCAACCGTACGCCAAACAACGGCACTCCCTCCTCCGTCAGCATCTCAAGCACGCTGATCACCTTGTCCTCCGGCAAGGCATGATACTTCGCGAAGGCTGCCTGAGACACAGGAGTGCCAGGGTTGTGCTTGTGGTTCCCAAAGAGAACCAGGGGGTTTTCAAACATGTTTCCCAAAACGGCTCCAACTGTATTCCTCCCTGTCACCTCAAAGAAATCTCACTGTAGGAAGTTTGACAGGAGTTGCATCAACACTCGGGAACGATTGATTCTTTTGCGGCCAAAGGATGTCTGATGAGGATGTGGCAAGTCAGAGGGTTCCAGAACATAGATACTAGATCCGCATGGAACATGGCATGTTAATATCAAAGCCATGCGAGAGACGTACTTTCCCATGATCAATGGGTGTTGTCTTGACACAGGATTGCAGTGGCAGATCGCAATCAAACTCGCTGTGTTAGACCCATGCAAGAACAAACAATGCAGGTAATTAGTGAAACAAGCGCATTCTGTGATCGACGCGTGTTCTTCCGACACAGGATTGCAATGGCACATCCCTACCTTTGCCTTGGGCTTATGCAAATCCAACCGGAAGCTCCAAATAGCTCACGTAAAGATTGAAATCAGCATGTTCCGTGATCAATGGTTGTTCTTTCGGCACAGGATGACCATGGCGCATGGTAGTCCAACTCATTGTTACTGGCTTAGTGCGGAAGTTACGACTTAAGTTGCGGCCACCCGCGGAAAGTTGCATCCACATGGGGGTTGCTGTGGTTGCAAATGTTTCCACCCAAAGAAGTTGCATCCGGAGCACAAGCACAAGCACAAGCACAAGCAGCAGCAGCTTCAGCAGCAACAGCAGCAGCAAATGGATGCGGCAGCGTATCCAACTTGCACGAAGGTGCCGAGGAATTTGACATGCAAGAGGCTTGCAGCAAAAACAATTTTGTGGCGAAGTGGCCCGCAACGCTGAGGATCCTTAGCATCCCTAATCCTAAATCGCAAGTCGTAGGACAGCACAGCAAGGGCAACCGCAAGGATTGAGGATTGATTTTAAACCCAAGTTTCATCTCAATCCAGGCATTCTGCGTCAAGGTTCTTTGACCTAACACATCGGCTCGAGCCCCTTGCGCAGACTCTTCAGTGCGTGAACCTCTCTGAATTAGACAAACACAATCTCAAACACATGGTGGATACCCATTTGGATGAGTCTTTATTTAAGGGACCCGCTAAAATGGTGGTTGTCCTCTTTGTAAACAAGGAGAGATCCTGCTCTTAGTGCCCCAGGCAGCAGGTGGAAGCGAAGCTTCGAATTCGCCATGCGCTCAACTTCCGAACCAGTACTTACGCAAGCCAACAAAAAAGACAGGGTGCCGGGTTCCAAAATCTTTCAGGGGCTGGGTCTCCGAAAGGTTCGTTCCGGATCCGGACCAATGCTTTGGCCAAAATGGCTGCTCAGTGAGTTCCAGGAAGAAAAAAGGAATTCAACCTGGACCGAAACTCTCTGAAAGACACATTCGGATCCTGACATGTTGACCGAGGCACGATGATAAGGTCAAGGGAAGGAGTATCGTCCCACGCATCCCAGGCAGCTCCCGAGGACGCATCGGCAGCCCGGGCGCTGCTGTCGCTTTCTTGCGAGAGGCCGCCTGGGTCCAATTGGTCATGTTCCATCGTTCGACGATGGAAAGTAGAACCCAACACTCCAAACAGGAAAGTTCTAGATTTCTGATTGTTGTCGCAGGCGACGACGCACTGCTACCGAAAGGCAAGCGATTCTTTGTCCACGGCTCTTGCCAACTCTGCCGGCTTTGATCCGAGCCGGCAAAAACAGGGCTCACTGGATTCCCCTTAAAAGCGTAGGTCTCAATGAAATTGCTGGTTGCAGTAGGGAAATTGAGGGACACCCCTCTGCTTTTTAAGGGGAAATTTAGGCCAGGGCACCAGCCGAAGCAAAGGCTGCTTCAGTTGCACCTCCTGTCAAACTCGGCCCAATGCGAGGCACACAAAAAACATGTTCGAATGATACCCAATGAAAGACCTTGGGGGATTCTTTGGGGTAATTCGACAGTTGGAAGGT